GTAATCTAAGCTTAACGATTACAAGGAATAATTTGATTCGATAATTTTTTTTTTGTGATGTTTCATATGCAAGAAAAAGAATATTAATCAAATAAAATGTATTACTATACTTATTAGTAAATTGTCATCATAATTATGTTATATTTAACTATTAACGAATACAATATTCATTATCTATTACATGATTATGTGGAATCGAAGATTAACGTTTGTTAAGTGCGGAAATTTAACTAATTTTTTCGTAACATGTGCATTGCAAACAAAGTACGTAATTGATAAAATAACGAACACTTCATTTCTACATATAATTATACAATACACATACGTATCAAACATTTTAAATTATTGCAATATAATTAAATGAAATGTGTTTAGGAAAATTCTATTTTCTGTAGAAATTATATATCACTTTTTAAAAATAATTATTTTATCGTGCAAATACATTATATCAATGCATTCGTGCTGTAATAGTAATATATATATGTATGTACTATCTTTTTATTTCTTATTGTATCTACATAACGACTTTAACAACGTTTTAAATACAAAATTCTTTTGATGCCATACATGTTATTCTTAATTTTATTTAAATATGATCGAAAGTGATTAACATAATACAACCTTCCTTATGTTCATGTTGTATATTGTCAGGTATGAAGTGTTTACCATGTCTTATTTCTATAGTATACGATCAAAAATATACACGAAACATGGTACGGTCATGCCTACACAAGAATAATGACATTTGTAGATACGTAAGAAATATTGCAACGCTCGTGAAATACATTAAGATAAGTAGTCTTTAAGTAGCAAGTTTATTACTTGACTTATTTGATTGCACATTTTGTGGGGAAACAAAGTGATATGAAATTTGGAACGTTATGTAAAAACGTTTAGTTTATTTATAAGTTTATGTAAACAAACAAATATTACCATTTTCGATCTCAAGGTTTGGATTCTGTTCATAACTCATAAAGGTTATCTAAAATAACCTTAAATATTATATAAGAAAATAGTGAATATCTTATTTTAATTTCGAATAAATGGGGTATCGTAAAAACTTTACAAGATCAATTCGTATTATCTACAAGTTTCAAAAAATAGGTCAAGGTATTACAAACTAATGTTTTTATAATCCCTTATTTCCTTAAAATTAAAATAATAGATTATTAATTATTCTCTTAGACATTATTAAATGTTATTCTATATAATATTTATGAGTTATCAAGAGAACTCAAACATAGGCATCGAATACGTTGATAATTAATTGTTTGTACAGACCATTAAACAGGCTAAATTTTTAGATTAACAATTATGAGTTCTATAAAAGATGTTGATAACTTTGAAGTACTTGGACAACGCGTTGCAATGGTAGCGATGACACCTTTGACGCAATGCATTTTGTATGTACGCTACAGATACATAATCATACGAAGTGCGGCAATCGTAAAAAAGGCAGTCATTTCAAACTCATGTATATATGTATCTTGTTAATGAATTATATTCACAGGTAAATAATGAAAATGTAGCGTATTATATTGTACATTGAAAAATTTGTACCAAAGAATTATGATCTGTATCTCTATCACGAGAGTGTATTCAGTGTTTGGACTTATATTACAAATAACAACACAAATCAATATATTACATAAATGATTGAAAATAAACTAATTATCAGATCTCATGAAACCTTCCATAGCTGAATTGAACTATTTTATGTGTCATACACAAATCAATGAATTCATACATATATTTACAGTACATTAACACCCACCTCCCTAGACACAATATTTTGAATGTTTTAAAGCATCGTCAATGTTTGTGTCTTTCGGTACATATGTTTTTACATATGTAATTACAGTTTGTATAAAAAGAAGTTTGCTAGTTGAATGGTACAGTTTATTTGTTAGTCGTCCATCCACGCCAAATGGAGGCTATGCTTGCCGCAGCACTTGTTACTAAACCACCAGCAACACTCTGATTCACTTGCATACTAGAGGATTGTTGACTAATCATTGCACCAGGGATGGGAACTGCCATTTCAGGACAAGCAACATTCGGTACCTATAACAATAACAAAATCGTATGAAATATATCTTCAAGGATTATCAAATACCATCTTGTTTTTTAACGAGAAAAGAATACTCACAGCTTCCCATTCCCAATTAAAAGCATCTTCCTCTTCGTCGGAAGCAGAATCGTCGCTATTTTCTAAATCTGGAACTAATTGACTGTGCAGTTGTGCTACAATATTTGAATCAACTTCCATTGGACCAATTCTATATTTTAATATACAAACAATTATACAAACAATGATCGTTTATCAACATCGATTAAGTACAATTAAAACTCACCTCCCAAGATCACTGATTTCAGTATTGAGCAAGTGCATTAGATTTTGTAAAGTATGCATTGGATGTAAAACTGTGACATTAGTATTTTGCGTAAAACATAAATGTAACACATTGTTATTGAGCCTTGCTACTTTTCTTGCGAATTTTTGATCCGACATCTCATTTCCACAAAATTCACTGAAAATTGTTATTTATAGAAGGGAGGAATGAGTGATAGAGTAAAATGCAAGAAGTTACATAAAATACAAAAAATAAAATAAAATTTTCAACGGTAATCTTTTCATTTATTTATAAGTTAACAAATAAGGAGACTAACGTTACAAATCTTCTATAATTAATGCGAAAATTTTCAAATAAAAAATTAAATATTTGTCACATACCCATAAGCGAGTTTATATGGTAGTCTTACATTAACATAATAGGCAATAATATTAACCAATTGTGTAGCATAAGTTAAAGCAGCACTGATATTGTATGCTGGATTGTGGATTGCATTTTCTTTATTTGCACCTGGCACTCCATCTTTGTTTGCTGCCACTATAAAAATAAATTAACATTTATAAAACCATCCCACAATACAATGTAAATTGAAAAACATAGTGTAATATGTGTACCCCATAGAGAATAAGCCCTATAATCACCAGTTCCTGGCAATGTAGGAGCAACTATACGGTGCTGAATTTCTAAAGCATTTTCTGTATCATTAATCCATCTGCCTCTAACATATGATGTTCCAGATGCATCTGCCAATGCACAAGTTACAATATCTGAACTAGTGTCTTCCTCACTGCTACATAAACTAAAAACAATTTATATTTTGTGAACTGTTCAACTTTGATTAATATTTATAATAGTTTTTATAATTTTTTTAATATGTAAATTATATAGATTGATTACCTTCTGTTAGGTTGAACTTTAGATAAAGGAAAGATATATTGAATCAATTGTTTTGCAGCAGTTCTGATGATTTTTTTCAATTGTTGTCTTTTTCTATCTACTGCCTCTTTTTGTTTTTCTTGTTTCGCTCTCAAACCAGTGACATATCTATGTAACTTTTCTACCCTTTCTTCATGTCTAGGTAATCTAAGTGCTAACTGAGAGTTTACATCTTTGAGAATATTCAAACGTTGATTACCTGTGCATTTTTAAAACTCTGTCAATATAACAATTTCTTAAATATTACGTGATTATATTCAGAGCTAGATATACCTCTGCTTATACTTTGTCTACTTTCATTTACCAACGATTGGAGCAACCTCACTCTTTCTTTACAAGTATTTATATCACATATCTGCAAACACCAAGAATTATAAATATGCTGACAATATATAAATATCTTTCTCAGTGAAATGACAGTATTTAAGAATCGCTACAAGATACCAGTTTATCCCGTTGTTTGTGCTTTTCAAGAGCTTTCACGCATTTTTCTTCCAATTGAGCTCTAGCAGCTTTCAGCCGTAAAAGTCGCAATTGTTTATCTGCAAATCTGTCCACAAATTGATACATGATAAAATACGATTTTCCAGTGTTAACGATTAATTCCGTATTAAATTATTATTATTTCATCGATGCACTACCGAACAGAAATTGGAGCGGTGTTATTTCGATAATAAATTATTTATTAAACATGAACGAATGGAGAAATCAACTTAGCACCCGACGTTTAAGACGAATACTCGAAAAACGCGTAATGCCAAACAGGGATTTCAACATATGCGAACATATGAAAACGAAAAATAGCCAAGATATATTTACCGTTCGGAATAAACAGAAGTTGAATGAATAAAATCACCATTTTGAATACACTGTCGACAGTAAAAAATTCGACGGCTATTATGGCACAGTGGACACTTTAATAAATTCACGCTTAAACGAGTCGAGACGTCTTCCAGCTCTGATGAAAGCTGAAAATCTGCAGGTGCTGTACAAGATCCATCAGAACTGCTTGTCGCCATAACCAAGAACAAGAACAATGGGCCTTCGTCTGTCTGTTGTCACTCATCAGCTGATCTGATATTTTATTTACTTGCATTCTCCCGCCACTCCGTGCACGATACCGTTTTTATCGCGTATCCTCACTTTCATATTTATTTGTGGCAGCACGCGAGCAACCCAGTCTCACACAAAATTTCCATCTAATTCGACGAGTAATCGTTGAATTATGTAAAAAACAAACTTAAATATCGTTTTATGTATCTCATGGCTGCACCGTGGCAGCAATCGTCTTGGAAAACCCCCGTTCCTCCACCGAGATAAGGGAAGGGACAATCATTGATATTATACATACAAGTTTCGAAAAATATTTGTAAATACGCAGAGGGTAATAGTTAATAGTACGTATACATATCGATCTGTATAATACTGCAATTTCAAAAAAGTATTTTAAACAACATATGTAGGTCGACTTGCTGGGAATAGTCTAGACAGGTCCAAATCGTTTCTCATTGTACAGCTGGTCTTTTGCATTGTGTTTTTCTTATTGTAATATAATAAAACTGTAAAATATAGAATTCATTTGAACTTTTGTATTGGTTATCAATACGAAAATGTTTGAAATTTAATACAACTTCAGACCGAGTATGTAGAAACTTGCAGTGGTGTTTACTGATAAAATAGATATGTAAACAAGATGTTTATTAACGTAGCGCTATCCAGCGCTATCTACCAAGTGCTAGCCAACTAAAAATGTGGATTCTGATTTCATAAATTACAGAAAACAATTTAAAATGATTTATCGACAATATTTCGATTAATTAAGAGGAAGGTCAATTTTAATGCATTCTAAATGTTATGATAGTAGTTCTTTTGGAAGCATTAGGAACGTTTTGTATGTACAATAATTATAAGGTTATTCATAATTGATTACATTGACATGTAGGTTAAGTTAAGGATGCATCATCATAGAACATCTATAAATATAAAAAAATATTTATATTTTGAATGAATATATTTTTAGGTGTTTATCTACTATTTCCTTATAACATAATAAGCAAAAGAAATAATTAAAAACAATGACGTCTATAATAAAACTTCATGCTGTTTCTGGGGCTATGGACGAATCTCCTCCTTGTTATATATTGCAAGTTGATGAATTGAGGATATTGCTTGATTGTGGATGGGATGAAAATTTTGATCAGGAATTTATAAAAGAACTGAAGCGGTAAATGTACATTATGTATATTTTTAATAGTCTTCTAAAACATTATTAAGATAGTGAGATCTCAGAAAGTCAAAGTTAATGAGAAATAAAATTATTAAAATAGATTATATCAGAAAACTAGTGTTGTACAGCTTCTGCAATTGAATGAAGTTTCTATGAATAAAGGTTTTCAATAATGTATTTTTTTTAAACTATGCAGGCATGTCCATCAAATAGATGCTGTGTTGTTGTCGTATCCAGACCCATTGCATTTGGGTGCATTACCATATTTAGTTGGGAAGTGTGGTTTAAATTGCCCTATATATGCTACAATTCCTGTGTACAAAATGGGGCAAATGTTTATGTATGATATGTATCAGGTACACTCAATAAAAACAAAAACCTTAATTATTTTTTAGCCTTAGTCGTATCACAGGCAATAATTCATTTATATTTTTGATTACAGTCACGTCATAATATGGAAGATTTTGATCTGTTTACTCTCGACGACGTTGACGCGGCATTTGACAAAATTGTTCAATTAAAATATAATCAAAGCATATCCATGAAAGGAAAGGGATATGGAGTTACTTTAACACCACTACCAGCTGGCCACATGATTGGAGGTACTATTTGGAAAATTGTGAAAGTCGGTGAAGAGGACATAATATATGCTGTTGATTTTAATCACAAGAAAGAACGGCATTTGAACGGTTGTGAGTTAGAACGATTGCAAAGACCATCATTATTAATAACTGATGCTTTTAATGCTACATACCAGCAAGCTAGACGCAGAACTAGAGATGAAAAATTAATGAGTACGTGAATTGAAATTAAACTTATTTTGTAACAGTCCATTGATTGTATTTCACAACATTTTGTATTTGCTAATATTTTACAGCCAATATTTTACAAACATTGCGCGGTGGTGGCAATGTTTTGGTTAGCGTAGATACAGCTGGTCGTGTATTAGAGTTAGCACACATGTTAGATCAACTCTGGCGCAATAAAGAATCTGGTTTACTTGCATATTCGTTAGCCCTTTTAAATAACGTTAGTTACAATGTTGTGGAATTCGCCAAATCGCAGATCGAATGGATGAGCGACAAATTAATGAGAAGTTTCGAAGGAGCTAGAAATAATCCATTTCAATTTAAACATTTACAACTGTGTCACAGTATGGCAGAACTGAATCTAGTGCCTAGTCCAAAGGTCAGAACCATGATCAAATTGATAATTTACGAATGTAATTGAAATTGAATTCACGAATATGAATATTTTAGGTTGTACTCGCGAGTACTCCAGATATGGAATGTGGCTTCTCGAGGGAATTGTTCCTTCAATGGAGCGGCAATTCTCAAAACAGTATTATTATAACTAGTAGAACTTCACCGGGAACACTTGCGAGAGATTTAGTAGAAAAAGGAGGCAACAGAAACATTACATTGGAAGTAAGAAGGAGAATTAAATTAGAAGGGATGGAGCTGGAAGAATATCAAAGAAAAGAAAAATTGAAGCAAGAGCAGTTAAAACAAGAGCAAATGTATGCAAATTCAGAATATTTTATCACAAAAGTTGTATTTATGAAATATTTTTTATACGTTGAGTGACGTTTATTTATTAGGGAAACTGCTGATGTAAGCTCCGAATCTGAAGATGAAATAGAAGTGGGAGGCGGGAGAGGCAAACACGATTTGTTAGTGAAGCAGGAGAGTAAACCAGGTTTCTTTAAGCAAAGTAAAAAACAACATCCAATGTTCCCATTCGTAGAAGAAAAAATTAAACTGGACGAGTATGGAGAAATCATAAGGTAATATTCGTAGTAATTAACATTTTTGTAGTACCAAAAAGGATTTGTGGCGGTACCTATATATAATTATTTTGTTTATTACAGACCCGAAGATTATAAAATAGCAGAAACTATACCTGAGGTAGATGATAATAAGGAAAATCTAGAAACAAAACACGAAGATGCTGCACATCATCCGGAGGTACCTACTGACATTCCCACCAAATGCGTTCAAGTTACGCGTACAATGACAGTTAATGCATCTGTCACATACATAGACTTTGAAGGCAGATCAGATGGAGAATCGCTACAAAAGATCCTAGCACAGTTAAGGCCCCGAAGAGTTGTATTAGTCAGAGGATCACCTAAAGATACAGAAATCCTGGCTCAACAAGCGCAAAGTGCTGGCGCACGAGTGTTCATTCCAGGTAGAGGAGAAACACTAGATGCTACAACAGAAACGCATATATACCAGGTAATGTAATTTATATACGATTTTATATAAATGTGAAGTATAATTTTATTTCATTTATACGTGTCGCAATTACTAATTCGATAATGCTTAGGTTCGTTTGACCGATGCTCTCGTTAGTGGTTTGAATTTTTCAAAGGGAAAAGGTGATTCCGAAGTAGCGTGGATCGATGCAATGATAACAGCACGCGATCAGATGTGCCGAGATGTTGTTACAGATACGCAACAAGATGATGTAATAGACCAAAGCGATAAAATACTTACTTTGGAACCATTACCATTAAACGAGGTATGCGCTTGTATGGAAAAATGTGAACGTTCTTCAGAATATTAATGTATTTATTGTTCACTAGGTTCCTGGTCATCAAACAACATTCGTAAATGAATTAAAATTGTCCGATTTTAAACAGATTCTAAATAAGAGTAATATCCCCTCTGAATTCAGCGGAGGTGTTTTATGGTGTTGCAATAACACTATCGCCGTTAGAAGGGTTTGTATTTAATATTATTAGAAAGGATACGCCATAAAGAGTCTAATGTAATTTAATATGACTTTCTTTCAGCACGAAGCTGGAAAAGTAATATTGGAAGGCTGCATTTCTGAAGATTATTATAAGGTGCGCGAATTATTATACGAACAGTATGCAATTGTATAAATTAAAAATTATAAATTTTGTACATGAATTTGCTGTTTTCTTAGCGAACACCTGAAATTTAATCTTATATCCGATCTTATAACGATTGTAAACATCTATCGAAGTTAGTAAGGTATCTCGGGAATTTCGTTCGAATATCCGCCTAGCGCATACCCTTCGCTACCGCGGCCGCTTGAACGGTCTACGCGCACTCTGATTGGTCGGAGTTTTCGGTTAATATCTCCTTAACGAAGCCCCATCCGACATTTTTGCAAAGGAAATTGTTGTTCAGAATCGTCTCAGCTACCCCCCATTTCCGGCTCCTCCCCGACTTTTGGGACACCCTGTATACATATTACATATACGCAATTAACGCTAGCCTTAGTTATTCGATTTCAGGAACTGGTACGTACCTTTAGAGTGTTAATGTTGTGTATGGTACACTCGGGTGTCGGAGATGTCCCGGGACATCTCTCTAGTTTAGCCACGCCCGAGAGCCTTGAATGAGAATCGTGGAGTGTGTGTGTTTGTATGAATATAGGGTTAGGTAGGTAGGTAACTTATCTTCTGGTATGTCTGTTAAATCTAAGTAGGTAGGATCCAGGGCAAATCGCGTCACTTTAGTTTGGGTAGGCGCGTACGTGATGGGTCTGCACCTGTAGGTGGATTTGAGAAGTCGTTACGATCACGATGCAAACGGAGCTTTGGTCCGTTTGTTTCGGAATCTGCTCTCGATTCTTCAGGTCTCGACTCTTTGAGTCGTTGCTTCGCGGTCGCGGTCGTGATCAGTAGGCTCCTTCGAAACGCTCGTTCCCTCGAGGTTCTAGACGTGTGGTTCACCGGGTTGAACGTCCACGTATTGCACTGAACCTCGACCCTAGATATAAGTTTCAGATGGGAGAATGCGTCCGAAGAAAGAAGAGAGGTCCTGACAAATTGTCACAAGAAGGGACTGCAACGAATGGCTCTCCATCTTCAGATTCGACAATGGGGAGTCATTACTATTACTATTTTGTCACTGTACTCGCCTGTAGTTGTAGTAGTTTGTTTCTTTGGGTCATGTACCCCAACGTGGGAACTCATCATATTGTGTCAATTGGGCAAATCGCGTATTAGGATTGTTTTTATTGATTTTTCGCGTTTAATTTCAGGGTAGTGTTGCGTAATAAAGATCAACCGCGATTGCAATTAGTGTTGCGTATAATGAATATTACGTCCGTTTAAAAGTAGTATTTAGAGTCAATTTAGCTTTTGATTAGTATTTTTCGCGTTTTCTTTCAGGGTAGTGTTGCGAATAACTATGAATCACGTTTGCTATTAATGTTGAGTCTGATACCATCTACGGATCATTTTTCTGTAGCACTTGGCCTATGCCTCATTACGCATGATGGCGACACCTATACGTTTACCGGCTCTGAAGTATTGTGACGTGAGCTTGAAATCCCTGGAAGTCACGTGATTTTGTTTACACGAAGCTCGTTAGCAAAGCAGTATTAACTTATTGTTTGGTTATGGAGCCACACAATTAATGTTTACTAAAGCTTACGATCATTGATTCGTAATTATCGTAATTTCAACGTAACATAATAAGTGACAACTGACTGCATAGTAAACATAGCAATTTATCGAGGAATCCATCTGTTGCATAAAATTACGAGTGGGATTCTTTGATAACAATACACGACTTGTAGAACGACAATCATCGCATTACTTTTCAGGTAATTAAATTTGTATAATATTACCTATTAAAAGTAATGTTTAAACTGCTATTTATGTAAAGTATTCAATCTTTGAATAATCTTGTTTCAGAGTTCTATCCATGTTTGATAAGCAGACCAAAAGCACTTCAAACTATGAATTAACGTATAAAGAGTTAAGATCGTTGATATTAGCTACATTAAAATTGAAAGCATGAGAAAATATTACCAAGCCGCACTTGCTGTGACTGCTATAGTGAGTCTTGTCTCTCTATTATTTTATAGACATGAGTACTATAAGTTACGATATGTCTTAGAAGTTTTTAATTATTTTGGTAAACCAAACCAAAAGAGTATTGGAACAAACTGTACAAATAATGTGCCAATATTCACTAAATTTAATATGAAATTTGAGGAACCTCTTTCCTCGTGGCAAAGACTAGATAATGACTTGTATGTTTACTCTGCATATAATATACGTGAAAAAGAAGTTCAAGTGATAGGCTTTGGTTCACTGAATAGCATTCAAGACATGCAATGTGTGATATTCTTTGAAAATGAAATTAAACCAATTTTAGGAAGCTTCACGTATGTTTCAATCGATAGTAATTTTAATTTTTCAAATGTTGATAAAAGTTCAAATTATCATGGGTATCATTTCTATTGTACATATACCAAAAATGCAATACCAGTAGGAATAACATTTCTTACAAAATCCAATACATATCTTAATGATACTCCCATATTACCAATTAGAAGTCAATCATATAGTTCAAATTATACTAGTGTTGGAGTATGTGTATCACCACCATTAACAAAACCAATGCATTTGACAGACATGTTTGCTTTCATAAATTTTCATGATGTAATTGGTATGGATAATTTCATAATATATGACTTTGGTATTCCAAACGACTTTAATAGTAACTTAAAAGATGCATCTAAGTTTCAAAATCCATATTGGAAATTTACATATACAACAGTACCATGGAATTTCCCTTTTTCTGGAATTCATTCTAATGTGATAAAGAATGTTATTCAGGCAGATTGTCTGTATCGTACATACAAAAAAGTTATGTATGTCACAACTATATCATGGGAAGAGTATTTAGTTTTAAAATATCATCATTCTCTTATTGATTTAGTGGCAGATTTTAAACGATCTAGAATGAAATCTAATCATTACAAAATAAATACTTTGACATTTTGCACGCAACAAGCAGATAATACAGATATAAAAAATTCAACATTTACAATCTTTAAAAAAACACGTTTTGATCCAAGTATTACCGATAACAGACCTACTTATATATATAATGCTCATGAGATATTAAAAAAAGATAATACTCATATTCAAGAAATTAGGAAAGATTTAGTTACGTTAAATCGTTATAAATATTGTTTTGAGAAACCAGATCCAGATACAGGCACTCAAGAGACCTCAATTTTGAGGTTTAAAGAGGATATTCAAAATTCACCAATGTTTGTAAAGTTTATAATGGACAGTAAAGTTGTACTAAGCAAACGGTAGTAAATGATATTCTTTTTAATACTTCCAACTTTAAAGTTAATGTATAGATTCAATACAATTGCCACATTGAAATTTAATTGGAAAGTCTGATCTATTTATAAGAATCGTAATATAAGAATTTAATTGTATAATACCATCTCAAAAAAAAAGTTTGTTACATTACAGAACATTTATCACTTTAATATTTATAACTTCATCATTTGTATACAAATATAACTATTTCTAAAGACTTCTAAACAGCTGTCATATTTCATCTTTCTCAATTCCAAAATTTATATTTTATAAATAGAATATAAGACACATTTTTATAGCTTATATACTATAGCTTTTAAAAGTAAATTTCACATAAACCTTGATATTACTACAAATGGTAATTGTACACATGTAGGAAACAAAGAATTGCATTGATGATTTTATTATATATTGTACAAAAGTTCTGTAATTTTATCATATATTACTAATAAAAAGTTCAATATCGAATTTCAGTTCAGGAATATGTTCCCAGTATTATCTCAGCAAAATTAATATTACATTATAAAAACCAAATTTCAAATAAAAATGGAAAATAATAAAGTATGTTCCAGTCAGTTACCAAAAAATTATTGAATGTTACTTTCAAGTATTCTCAATATATATTTAAGAATCATCTAATTGATACATCACTCAAGCTCTCATAACTAAGGATCTAGGAAAAACATTTATTTCAGTCGTTGAATTATTGCTGTATTTTGTAAACCAGCTTCTTCGATAGTTTTATCTTCAGCAAGCTCCTTGGTAGGATACATTGTCAATAGACTGAACTCTCTCATAGCATACTGTGGTCTCATACTATGTTATAATTAGTTAAGGAACATACTCCAAGAAAAATAACATTAATGATATTTTAATATTGATAGTATTAACTAGTGTCATGTATTAATTTGAAAAGGATACGTGATTATATATTGCCTCAAATCATTGATTGTATGTGTTAAATTAAATTGAGCTTTCACACTAGTACCATCGGCAAGACGAATTTGTAGTGTCGTAGTGGGTTTTGATTCATTTAAATTTAGTTGTTTCTTTGCCTGTGATTCATTTGCTGTTTGGTCTGCAAGATCTGTTGGTATCGTCATGCCAACAGTTGCTGGAGAGGGACTAAACATGAACATTAATAAAAATATGTAAATTGTGTTTAGGAAGTATGTCTTATGCAAGATATATTGTATACCTTCCTAGCATGTGTCCTTTTCCAGTAAAAGCTTTTACTTTTACTTTTGGAGGAACATATGTTTCATGACGATGATCCTCCATATCAAGCCATGCTTCAGTACTTTGAATTTCTTGACGTATTTCTGTTGGTATTTCACCTCTCTTAATTGTATCAAGGAATTCTCTATTTTCTGGATCACTGTACAGACGGAGCTCAGAATCATTTATAGTAAATCCATCTTTCCATAATTTCAAAATAATAGGCCCGGAATTGGATTGCTGATGGTTAGAGGATGTAGCAGTAACAACTGAAGAAAATAAATGATCAATGTTCTCTATTGGAATCTCTATACATGATGTATTAATAGTGCTTGTAATATACCTTCTGTATCAGAACTAGTTTGGCCTAATTTGTATCCAGTACCACTAAAAGTATTGGGTCTTTGTTGCCCACTTGGCTTTGGTTTTACATCAACTGATTGTCCCTGACACGATTTAAACATATCGCTGACAATATCTTTCTTTTTTCCTGGTCCTAGAACTTGTTGTCCACTGTGTTCTGAACCACCAGCATAAAATGCTTGTCCTTCTTCTTCTTCAGGGCTACTCTCTTTATCCTTAAGATCGGTAAGTGTTGCAAACTTAGATTGTGCTTTTGATTTTCCTTTCGATGATTTTCCTTCCATGTCAGAGGGATTAACACTTTTCACAATTTTTTCTGCAATTTCTCTATAATCGTCATCCGACGTATCTTCAACAGGTTCACTAATTAGTGCAGCAGGTTCATCATTCTCATAGAAACTGGCAAGAGCAACCTAACAATATTTTAAATAACCTTTAAATACAAAAAGACATGCAACGACATAAAATTGAATAGTAAATTATTTAAACAGCGAATTATATTAAGTCATAGTGTAGAAAAAATTGGTTTTAATGTTAATTTTATCCTTGTGCATGTCATTAACAATATTCATAAAATAATATTGTTATAATTTTATCGTAAGATTACGATTACGCGTATTTGCGTGTCATGAAACATTTGTTGCTTCGATTGCCTGTAGTAGAATAACAAAAACCGTAATTTGTTTAACAACATTCCCAAAGTACGGAACTATGCATCATGAGAACATTGAAATTGATTGCCATTTAAGGTTATATCAAATTAGCGTTAAAATTAAATGGATAGGAGAACGTTGCTTTAAACGCGATCGTCCATTAAAACATTTTGCGATAAAATTGATGAAATATTTAATAAATGCCGTCTCACCTCGAGCTGCCAAGCAGATGACTCAAGGTAAAATTGTGCTCGTTCACGTTCAACACCAGTTACATCTGTAAATTGCGAAACCAACTCTTCGTGGCTCGCCATTGAGAGCAGATGTTAAAAATCACTCGGGGTGTATTATAGATTGTACTTAATACCGATCAAATATTCCTCTGGCTAATGTTCTTCTTTGTTGAGTAATTCAACTTTACGTCAATTTCTTCAATTTACCTGTCATTCCTTCCATTTATGTGGAACTGAACCGGATATGTATAGCAAACGCAACCGCCTAATGTTCGAACATACGTCTTATGCTACTTGCAATTTTTTACCATTTTTGGCAATTGTGCGTAATAAAATTATCGTAGGTATTGAATATCGGTTATAAAACGTTCGTTAGTATTATCAAAAAAGGACAGCACGTATGCGTTAAATCAGAAATGTTCCTTAAATAATATTACACAATATTACACGTACGTGTCGTTACACAATGTTATACGAATATACACAACAGTATTTTTTTTATGTCTTCGTATTATGAAACATGGCAAAATAAAGCTGTGCCACATTTTATCCAATGAGTTTGAAGCATGTCAGTTTTCAAAGGTATACTAATCACATAATTCTTCGACATCGACTGAAGGTATTCATCCGTGTGTCGAACAGCGGAAACGTAGACAGGACATTTATAAAATTCCTCTGTATCATTTTTATTCTGTAAACATTTAAGACGTATCGGTGGCATATCTTGCCAAAATACATTCGTGGAACTTTCTACTAACATATTTTGTTCAAAATCCCATCGAGCACCGCATAAGTGCAAACCACGAATGAAATATACATCGACGTCTTCAACGTCCACTTCTTCCTCGGTTGTTACTTCGAATTCAAAACCAATTTGTTCGATAGGTAGACCGTACCTTTTGGAAAATGTTGTTAAAATTGCAGAGAAAAACATTTTACCAAAAAATAACGTGTCGAGCCAAATAACTTTAGGACACCCTTGATTCATCCATTGTTTGATAAAATTTGTACGTTTTACTAAGTTGTCGATATAACTTGGCAAATTTTCAATTGTAATGTTATTTTGTATAACTTCCCATGCACGTGGAACTTTATTTTTGTACAGTTCTTCTGTGAACTTTTTCAAGGAATCGGTAAATGGTACACAACCATCGAACGCTAATTTTAAATTGCTTAACGTTTCGGTTATGACTTGTAAAATATTTTTCAACAATTTTACTTCACGAAGAAGAACTCCGTCTATGGGTTCCTGAAGCGAAGAGTTGTGTTTCTCTTGTAATTCGTTAATCTCAAGTGAATCATGTAATTTATCATTAATATCGTTGATTAGAGTTAGTATTTGTTCTTGAGATAATTGATTATTTGGCAATGGAACAGTAGGATCCATACATGAAAGAGACAACAAAAAGTTTGTAGCTAACATCGTATCACGAACAATAGCACCATTTTTATTAAATCCAAAAACTTTAGATGACAAATCTAAGGGCATTCGTTGAATGTGTTCAATTATACGAAGATATTCGCACCTTTGTGGTATCAATTCTTTTATGCCACTTGTACACGTATAATGCTGATCTTCGATTATGTGTATGTTACAGTAATCGTTCAAAAGGTACTTTAGACTTCTCTTATCAAAATCGTCCATTATTTTTCCACCATAGTTACATTCTCCAATTAAGTACAAAAGAATATCGAAAGGTACATAATCGGTATTATTTATTAAGTTCCGCATTTGCATGGCGGATATGCGAAGATCAGAATGATCGAAATCATACGGTACATTCCAACCTAGAATTTCAAAGTTTTTCTTTTCTTTGATAATTGAATGGAAGAGACACAAGCCAAAAAGAAGCTTTGAGAAAGCCGTATCTTTTCCAGGGCATCCTTCGAAAAATTCTTTGTTTGTTATAGGTTCAGACTGATAAATGTTTAACAACGTCTCTTTGATATTTAGAGGATAGTCGTGTACGATTTTTATACTATTTTGCAAAATACTAATAGGAAATTCTTTTATAGGATAACTGGATAACCACAATCGAAAATTTATAGACACTTTTGAGATATTGCAGTTTTCACAGATTTGTTCAAGCTGAATCATCCAATGAGGCACTGTATGACAATTTTGCAAAAACACCCACCCTCCTTCTCTCTGAGCTTTTTGTATAAGAAACTTGGCTTTTCCTTCTTGACCTTTGCTCATTGATAAAGAGATAAACTTTGACAAGTAGCCTTTTGTTCTTGCGTATGTAGAAACAAGAGATAAAAGCGATGAACAACTTGGTAAAATAAACAGAAGAGGAGTTAAACAACTGGATTCTGTATATGATTGAGATATTTTAAGTTGGGGGGAACAACTTTGAATACTTCCTAAAATATTTTCTATCATTTGCATAACATGTATTATAATCTTATCAGGCCATAAAATTTTTGTAAGAATTAGTTTCTGGAATAAAGATAATTTGTCCAACCAAGGTTTTGGCAATAAGTCACTTTGAAGTGACCTGGAAGCATAATATTGTTTCCAAGTCTCATTGTTGCAACAAATATCATCTGCAAGACCATGAAAAGCAGACAACTTCTCACTAAGATTATAAATTTTTATCCAAATATCATCTGAAAGCCAATCAAGTGTATTATCAGAAACTGTATTAATGTAGTCTATGTGTGCTGATATAAAGTATTTAATTTCATCTTCTGTGGTTTGTTGATCATCTAATAAAATTTTAGAACACAATAAGAAAGAATACAATGTCTTATGTTTTTCTGATAAAGATTTAGAAATGCTTGTATGAAGGCTTTGAGTAAATGAAGATTTCAGAAATCCTAACCGTTTTTCAAGAATGGTACTTCTATTTGAAGTTTCAATTGATTTAATGTATAATTGCATAAACCATTTGAAAGAAAAACAGTACATACGATTTAAGTATGATAGAGCATTAAATGTGTTAAATAAATCTACACAATATTTAACAAATTGTAAATAACTTTTCCGAAATTTGTTGATTTCCAATGATATAACTTTTGATAATTCTTGCTTTTTAATCACATTCAAAGTAAGATTTTTTGAAGAATCTAAAGTTTTTATAGCAGTCTCATCTTCAAGAATATTTATGGTTGTTGAAGATAAAGTATGCAAAATATTATCTTCTTGTTGTTTTAATATTTTCTTGTTAATAGCATCTTCTACAATCAAAATTTCGAATTTTTCATGAAGTTCTGGTTTTTCTTTAAAAACTACAAGATCCAGAAGTTTATCTTGAAGAGCTTCATTTGGAATAGAAAAATCAATTACTGTAAGCTTACTAAATACTTCAGGAGAGTACTGAGGATTGAATAGTCTTGTTGTAATATATAATCGAAAATCAGGTGAATATTTTATAATATTGTAACCAGTATCCAAATACGATACTTCTCCATCAATATAAATTCGTTTTAAAAGAAATGGATCCAATAATATTTCTAGTGTTTCTCCTATGTTTTCAATTAACATTGGATTTCCATTCTCAACACTACAATGAATAACTGACACACAATCAGAATCAGTGAGTTTTCTAACTTTCAAATCATTTCTTTTCTCAATTTTTTTAATCCATTGATTTGCTTGATTATGTGAATCAATAAATAAGCACCACAGTTTTGAATTATTCATAATAATTGCATTTTCAACAGAAAATCTGTGTTTAGGTAACCCACAAAGATACCAATGATTTATTTCATTCTCTTCTCCAAGTACACTTACTAAATTGTAGTCTACAGTAAACGGAATTTTTATATCTCTTATGAATTGTTTCCATGTTTCTAAAATTTGATCACGAAAGACAGTTCTACATGATGCCATATAAGTTATTATTCCACATGATATGATCATATCTCCCACAAGATTATTATAATTTTCTTGAAGACTTTCTGCACACTCCATCCAACGATCTTTTTCACTTCCCAGACTAGTAATTAAACTCTCTGCTTTATTTAGTTTGTTAGTACAGTTTTCTACTTCCTCTTCAAGTTTAAGTTTTTGTTGTAATGTTTCTTGAAGACTGTTATTTAGCGCTGCAAGTTTTGCATTTAATGCAGCAAGTGTTCTACGTTTTTCATTTAAAAATGCTTCAGCTTCATTGCATTCTCTTTGTGCAGTCAATAGTTTTTCTTTTTTAGGTGCAACTGCCTTTGCAACTTCATCATAAGATACCATTGCGCGTACCCATTTACAAAGTCCTTCTGCTGCACTTGATGCTTTGGCTACAACGTGAGGTTTAAAATTATTATCTGTCATATATGTTTTTTTAATAACTTGCATGATATTGTGTGGAATATTATCTTTATCATAATCTTTTAAATTCTGTAAAAAATTCATGTCACCTAAAATGCGTTTGCTAGGACCCCAATAATCTGTCAACTTTTTACCAGTAACTGGATCAATAGGTTTATCTGGTAATACATCAAGCATAACACAAATTGCAGCCATGACGAGTTTAACAGTATCAGGAGGATTTTTCATAGCTTTCACAAGAGTAATATCTGTAGGTTTTAATGTATTTAATGCGGCAACAGCATCCTCTAAAATTGGTATTGCTACAGCAAGATCAGCTTCACATTCTACTTTTAAACGACCAGCAATTGCTGCTTTCTTATTTGCTATTTCTTCTTCTTGTTGTACGAGAATAGTCGCTCCCTCTACGGTAGCATTTTCATTTTCAACTTCCTTCATAGTCATCATAGTTTGCTGAGCAGATAACTCCAATTGTGGTTTTAATAATGTTAATGTACCCTTCATCTCTTCGACTTGCTTTGCAGCTAATTCCAATTTTTCTAAACCTGTTAAATATCTACTTCGCGTTATAACAATGTCTTTTTGCTTTTTTGACATGAGATAAGCATATAACTTTAACATATGTAAAAATGCAGATAATGTAATATGAATTGTTCGATCGGTTCCGTTGTAATATTCAGTACTTATTTCTTGCGCATTGTTATATAATTTTACACAAGCTTTTACTACATCCGCTTTTATATTTTCATGAATTTTGATATCTTGGACGTATTTTGAGCTTATTTCTTTGAGCGCAGTTATTGGCCACGTTTCATAACAATTTATTGTACAGTATTTTACTAATTCTGGATACCTATGTAAATACGATCTAGTTTCTTTATTTGTTGAATTAAAGCATATCACGATATGCAGATTATTTTTGCATTGTTCTATAAAATAGTTCATTACGGAACGAATACTAATCTCTGTGATTTTATTGCCACCTTGAGCATGTAAACGTACCATTTCAATAATATCATACCTCTCCTTAATAGAAAATAGATCGGGTATTTCTCCATTAGCTAATAAGCTACTAATATCACAAAGAAAATGATCTGTTATTTGTTTGTCTTTTAAAAAAAATATAATACTCTTTCTTAATGCACCACACTTTTGTAGAACTGTTTTCAAATCTTTTCTCCATACATTGAAGTCATTAGAGGAATGCAGAGATGGTTCAATTAATTCTTGTTGATGCATGTAAGCAACAAGACTCATTATAGATTTTCTACCAGACCCTATGCAAGAAATCATCAATAAATTATTTCTTGGTGTAGTTACAATTCTTGAAATTCTTATCAAACATTGTAACACATAATTTGTTACAACTATATCAATTTGATTTTTAAAATTTCTATTGTATTCATTTAGATAGAAAAGAATTTGATTTTTTAGCTTTTCCATAGAATTTATTTCTTCATATTTCTTATCTTTGTTTTTTTCAGTATCCATGAAACTGCTAAACATCAAGTCATTAAAGCTATCCTTTGTAATTTGATTCTTCTCAGACTTTGGTAAATAATCAAAAGCTGTTTCAAATGAATCTTTAAAATGACATTTAACAATATCTCTTATCTGTACAAAGAGCCAGTCTTTGTCGTTGTTATCTAATATCCTATCGCCAAAAACGCGCCATATCTCATGTGCCCAAAGACGAATAAAAGTAACTTTAGTTTCTATTGATTCCTTCTGAATAAGACTACATCCATTGATCACTCTGCTTATATCTCTTAGACTGAACTGGTATTGGAATTTTGCTGGTATCGGTCGTAGCGTTTTAATTAGAGAATTGTGAATATCGATTGTAGCATTAGTTATATTAGTTACACTGCTAAAGACATCAGCAGCAAAAAGATTTTTTTTTAAATTGGTGAAAAGTACATTGGAAAATATTCTGAATACAGTATCTGTAGATGGTGTATACATGGTATACAAATTGAAGTATCTCAAAAATCTAGGACATATGTTAGTTTTGCTATTTCCTATAATAACAAGTGAAAACATAATATCGTGAATAAAAATTTTCTCAGGTTCATCAGAATCGTAAAAATAATTATAAGTATGATACTGCCGAAAAAGTTCTAAAATACTTTCTGATTTACGGCCATTTACTTCCACATTAAGATCATCTATGAAACTAATACACAATTTGTTTTTTGGTGGGCCATAATGTCCCTTCCTTATTTTATTTAATTTTGAAAGTATCAATCGTTGTGTTTTGGGAACAGTATCCAAGGAAGTGAAACTAAAAAAGTTGATTACATACTTTTCTTCTAATAATTTTGTTGTTAGTAAATTTTTCATTAAAGAAGTTTTTCCAATAGATGTATCTCCACAAAGGATGAAAGGCTTTTTGTATTTAATGTGCTTCAAGAACACATGATTGTATTTCATAGTGTTAACTGTTGATACAAAAATTTCATTGCAATTAGGTATTTCTAATACCTTTTCACTTTTTAATAAGTCACCCCAGTACTTCCAATTACCGATACCTTTGAAAATGTAAAAATGATCTTGTATTAAACCTTCATGAGGTAGTGTTATATCAAAATTTTTGATTGATTCTGGTTTTGGATATTCTTTATTGGTACCATCCCAAAGCATTGTACAAAAGGAATTAAATTTAATATGAGAATCCATATCTAAATTTCCTCCTAATCCCCATATAATAGATAATAGAAGTGCAACTTGCATCCATATTATAAAATGATTCGTTTTTCCTTTTTCTTCTGTGTTTTCTATTTTAGCATCCTTTAAATACATTTCAAGTAAATTTAATGTTGATATTATACAATGTAATTGTCCAACAACTGAAGTTGAAGTGCAGTATTTCTCTATAAATTTTAAAGAAGGATCTAAAACCCAATCAAATAATGAATATAATACTTCTTCATACCCCTTGTAGATATTATGTTTGTTAATATGTGTTTTAACATATGGTTTCCAATCGATAGAGCGTGATTCGATATAAATTATACCGCATCTTGATAAAATGGCAGGAGAAACGTTTATCATATTCATTGTTTCAAAGATAACAGACACTGAATCTGTTACATTCATTTTTTCACCTGATGTCAAATGTAGTGCTTTGTTTGTATCAAGAACTGTATATAAACTTTCAATCCATACATCATTTAAAGGTCCATCGAATACTATCCATTTTTTGTCAGAAGAACTATTTTCCGAGAAAGAACGAAATATTTTGGAACATATTCCATCCTTCCAAGTTTTTGATTTCTCAACAAAATGACCAAAAAGTCGGTGAAGATTACATACTCCTGGAATTACAGTCTCTACTTTTACATTAACACCAAACTCAATACCCTGTTTATGTAAGGATGACAATACATCTACAAGAACATGCAAAATTTCTGTTTTTCCCACAAAAGGATTACCAACAATCATTAGAGCTTGATGAATGTACATTGTTTCAAATATTTGTATGATTTTAAGTTTGAATACATCATGAATATATAGAAATCTACGTTTACAAATCATCTCAAGGGTATTTAAAAGTACTGTATAATCAGGAGGTAGTAAAACAGTATCAGGAAATATATTGTGCACTATATTTTTAAAGATCAGTATGTCCATATTGCAAAGTTTGGGAAGACAAATATCGATCAGTGAACGTAAAAGTAACATGCTTTCATCTTCATCTGGGAAACTTCTCTTTAAATAAATTACAGACCTAACAACTGCTTTTGCAGAGCATATATTAAAAGTGTTACACGATTCGCACCACAGCTGTTCAGACAGTATTTTGTACAATGTCACCAATTTTGAAGCTAGTAGTTTTGAATTAGATATGCCAGCAGCAAAAAGTTCAACTTCTACAATTCTACCAATATCTGGTGCCATCATAGAAATTGTTCTAAATAATATTTTTAAATTATCGGGTAAATTAGAGTACTTAAACGAACCAAGGTTCGTGATAGTGCAAATATGCCCAGTTGGATTCATATTCAGTGTTGAACCCTCAAAAGTTATTATTTTTAAATTCGTTGTTATTGCTTGGAAAATACAAATAAGATTTTGAGTAATCATGGATAGAAGTTCAAGTTTCAAACTATCAAAATTCTCAAAACAAAGCCATGCTCCACAAGAAATAAATCCTTTAAAAACTTGACAAAAAAAATCATAGGATAATATATCAGCACAGTTGAAGGTACGAAATTGTATTGCAATAGCTTTTGCCAAGCTTTGAACAGTCGTTGTTTTTCCTACAGCAGGTAGTCCTGTAATAGCTCCATATAAATGATATTCATATGCTTGCATAAGAGTATGGAAACATCTATCTGTTAGAGTAGTATTTATTATATGATGTTTGTAGTAATTATATTCGCATCCATAACTTATACTTGTATTAAACATTGATGTTTTAACACAATTTTCTTCTAAATAGTATCGTAATTGTGCAACCCATTCAAAATCTGTAGATCTCGTAATATTTTTATGCAGTAATAATTTGATGACATCTTTTTGATTGCTTATGATAATAATTAAAGACATTAATACATCTCTGTACCTTTTTGTTGAATATTTTTTCATTTCATTAATTAAACAACTTACGTGGGTAACGTATTTTAAATATAAAGAATTCAGTGTTTCGAAATTAAATGATGTAAGGCAGTCGTGTACTTTAGAAGTCCAATAAAGTTGAAAAACGCAAACAACTACCATACTTGGGAAATTAGCAATGCTATTGTACGTAAATGTTTGATTAAATACATTCCAGCATTGTAAAATGCTTTTTCTTATCATACCATTTATTTCATTTTCTAGATGTATCAACCATTTTTCTTCATGATCAGAATAAACATTAATACATTTTTCTAAGTATAATTCCTCTCCATAATCACCAATAATGGAACAGATCCAGTTTTCTTTATTAATTCGTACTTTTTGTATACCCTCAAAACATTTGTTTACCGATATATGCAATTTCTCTAAGTTATTTGATTCAAATAATGTTTGTTGGATTTCTTTATCAGAAAGAAAAAAGAATCTCGGAAAACATAATCTTTTAGCTTCAATGTAATTTCTTACACCTTGATTTATGTGTTCAAGCTTTTCGTTAGTATCACATAAAGATTTTAAAATTATTGGATTATTAATTTCAGTAAATGTAGGAGTCTCGCATAATTTGTTTTGAATAATTGTTAAAACATTTTTTACTTCCGTGTACAAAGCTGATTCTTTTGGTAAATAAATTTCGATGTTAGGATAACAAAAAGTGGTTTCTAAAGAAAGTATCAATACTTGAATGTAATTCCATTGATCAATGATGTTTCGAATTCTGACGAGCGACATAGAAAAATTCGATACCGTTGAAACTATTGGTTTGACAAAATTCGAAGTCCTCATTTCTTCAATTACTATAAAATGATCTTCAAGAAGTAATTCTATATCGTTTAAATGGGAAAATACACTCATATTGGATGTTTCATCATTACTTATTTCAAAAGAAATTGTATTCCATTCTTTAATCATTTTAGACAATTTTTGTTGTAACTCTAACTCTTTGTTTGCACTTACACTGATAGCTTCATATTTCTCAATGTCATTCATCAGATTAAATGAAATAATCTTCCTTAAACTAGTTCCAGCATTTGGTGCAAGATCAAAATTGCATATTACAGACATTTCTTCCCAATGTCGTTTCTGAAGTGCTGAATTACACATGCATACTACTAATGGCAAATAATTTTTAAAATCATTTATATCATTAAGAGCCTGCCAGCATAGTTTCAATGGAGCAGGTTGTTGCATTGGATCTGGATCATCTGCAATTCCAGAGAATTTGAAACACTTGTTTGCAGTTAAATCCATTTTAATTTTTGTTTTGAATGCTTGACTCATTTCCATAATTTTTTCAAAGTAATTTAATGTTTTACTTTTTACAGTAGTGGCATCTAACCATTCGAAAGGGCCATCTAACCATACAGCATTGTCTTTCTGCCATTGATAAATAACATAAATAAGGTCGTGAAATGGTTCGATTATGTCTTGTAATTCAATTATTTTAGGGAACTCAGTTTCAGGAAATTTGAATAATGTTTCCTCCTCATTAATCCTTTGCATCTCACAATTGATTTTATTTACTTGTTTAAGAAGACCTCCATAGTATTCAATGTATTCCCCAGTTCTATTTATATCATCCATATTGTCTAAAACACTCAATTGAGGAACAATATTGTCTACTTCAGAATTTAAGTCGTTTATTCTTTTCTGCATTTCATCTTCTAATTCATTTTTCATTGCTTCACATAATGTATTATTTTGTCTGAACACAGGTTCAATTTCATGTAACCAATTAATAGTTTTTTTATTTAATTCAATGTGATCCTCGGACAAAACTGCAATTTCTAATAATGTACTTAACATCTGTATTGAGTTTTGAATTTTAGATTCTAAACTTCCTATTAGTACTTTTGATGCGTGTAATATATATTCAGTTAATTCAATCAAAGATTTTGCATCTTTTGATACATTTAACGATTTTGCTTTTAAATTTTCAAATTCTGAACAGATACACTGATTGAATTCTTGATGATACTTAATAAGTTTCATCAAAAAAGCATTCACAATATTATATGATTCTGTCTTTAAAACTTCCTTAGCTATATTTTGTTCCAATTTTCCTATTGTATAATATGTATTCCCTACTATTGCATTTGCTTTTACTAAATATGTATTATATTTCTGTATCTGTTTAAGGTATAAATCAAAATTTATGTTGCCCAAAGTTAATGATAATATTCGTTTTTTTATGTTGGGTGCACAGATGGGATAAAATTCCTCAGTCATATCTATTACATGTCTGTTTATGGGTTCAAATAAATGATGTAATACAATTTGCAATTTATTGTGAGATTCCTTGATATACCAATCTGGCAATTTTATTTGAATATATTTGGAATGTGATTTTATACTCAGCCATTCTTCCAATGGCATCAAATTTTGAGCAACTGTTCCAATCTTATCAATTATACTGTGATACATTGAGTATATTTCTTCCATATTAGGACTGATATGTAGTTGATTGTTTTCCATAACAAGTTGAAATTTTATTTGTGGACAATAATATCCATTACTCATGATGTTTAACATATAATTAATAGACTGCATCATCATATTTAGAATTTGCTGTACAAAAACATTTGTCATACATTGCATGATACGTGGTAGTTTCTTTGGATTAACAGCTTTTAAAACTCTTGTTTCTGTTATAATTCTAGATGTTTCATTGTAAAATTGATTTAATATAATCAAAGAACTTTTTTTAATATCATTGGTAATCATGTCTTGAAAATCATTCAATAACATAGGTCCAAAACAATAGTAATGTTCAAAGTTACAAATAATTGTTGGAAGTTTAAGTTGTGCCAGGCATATAATAAATTTTATTGGCTCCAAATAAAGAAAATAATTTTTTCTTAATAATTTGTGATGTTTTCTAAATGTTTCATAATTATAAGCTCTTTTCTCTTTCAGAAACATATGATTTGTACAACTTATTGTAGAGAGAGGGTCTTCCTTATCATTTGGTGATGATAATACAGTTCTTATTACAAAATTTTGCATATCTTTGATGTATATATCTTTTACCTCTTTTAACATTGATTGTATTAATAGACAATATTTTTTTCTATAATTTTGTGGTAACAAATCTAAAATATTTGTTTCCCATTGAATAGGAAATTCTTTAAAATGAATATGTTTTAAGCAAGTTTTCATTTTATTGTACAATGAACTTTGATTATTTATTGATGTAATAGTATTTGAACTACCATAACTGTGTACATTTATTGTATTTATATCCATGTCCCTTGCAAATAAGTGTTTTCAGAAAATGTTTAATTTCTATAAACTTGGAGTATAAATTTTGTTTAAGTCAAAGAATACTCACTGATCTTATTTTATTTCACATTCTTTATCTTGATTAGCTATGTAAAAGTTTTTCAACATCCATGTTATTACTAAACACTATCAACTTAGCTTGCTTATAACATGGATGCAGAATGTTTTATCAATACTAGGAAATTGGTATATATCTTTGGTATTTGTAAACATACTTACTATATTGTAATTTAAATGTACATATTAGGTATCAAATGCGTCATTCACTTAGGTTAATTATTTCAAAGGTGATTGATGTCAAAAGTGAGTAGAAATTCAACATGGAATAGTTTTGTTAATAAATAATTTCTCGATATAATTCATAAACATCTGCAAAGATGAGTAATATTTACATACAAGAGCCACCCACCACGGGTAAAGTAAGTATAAATTTGTGATATTTTAATATACTTTTTACTTGTTTTCAATGCCATAACCTATGATATTTTATGAAAAACTACTTCATTTTTTATAAACAGGTGGTAATGAAAACGTCAGTAGGTGATATTGACTTGGAATTATGGACAAAGGAGGCTCCTAAAGCATGTAGAAATTTCATACAATTATGTATGGATGGATATTATGACGATACTATATTTCACAGAATTGTTAAAGGTTTCATAGCACAAGGTGGAGATCCAACTGGGACAGGTGAAGGTGGTGAAAGTATATATGGACAACCATTTAAAGTACGTTTCAGTTTAATATTAAAATCAATTCTATTATGATTGGAAAATAAATGTAAAATGTACATTCAATAGGATGAATTCCATACAAGATTACGTTTCTGTAGAAGAGGTTTACTTGCCATGGCCAATGCTGGAAAAGATGACAATGGCTCTCAGTTTTTCTTCACTCTTGCAGCTACACCAGAATTGCAGAATAAACATACCATCTTTGGCAAAGTTACCGGAGAAACTATATATAATATGCTTAAACTTGAAGAAGCACTTGTAGACGAAGTAAGTTTATTAATTCAGAGTGAAGAATTATAAGTTACTAAAAAGGGATTAACAAGGAATGCATTCTAATCCTTTTCTTTTCTTTCTAGAATGATAAACCTCTTTATCCTCCAAAAGTTATAAAGACAGAAATATTGAATAATCCTTTTTCTGATATTGTAACCAGGGTAATAACAAAGAAAAGTGAAGAAATAAAAGATAGTACAAAAAGAAAAAAAACTGGAGTAAAGTAAGATACATAAATTATTTGTAGTTTCCCCTTATGTCAATAGTATTTCTGATCATTGAATGTTTCATTGCAGAAATTTTCAACTTTTATCTTTTGGGGAAGAAGCAGAGGGAGATGAGGAAGAATCTGTGATATTAAATAAACAATTCACCGGTAAAGGTAAATCGGCACACGATCATTTAACCGATGATCCAAAGCTAAGTGCTCAACCAGCTATTGAACCAGCTGGACCTCCAAGTAAGAAAAAAAAAGAAGATCGTAGCAGCGATTGGGAAAGTGACGACGAAGTTGAAAATCCAGAAGAATTGGAAGCTATGAAAATAGAAAAAGAGTGAGTTTATTATACACGATTTATTTTCATATCATGGAACGTAATTTATTTACCATATTACATCCTTAGAGAAATGAAAGAAAGAATCAAAACTAAATTAAGGGATACAAAAAAAGGACCTAAAAAGGTAGAAAATTATAAGGTGGACGACGTTGATGATGATAACGATGAGAAGGAAGACGAGTATTATCTAGGAAAAGATAGAGACGATGAACGTAGAAAAAAAGCGTACGTGTTTGTTACACATTTTCGATGATAATATCTAAACGTTAATGATTAATTTTTGTACAGGGAAGAAATTAGGAAAGAAATTCGGGACTTGAAACGCGATGTTAGGAACGAGAAAAAAGCAAAGGAGGAAGAGAAGAAATTAATCGAGGGACAAGAAGCGAAGAAAGAACAGAAAACAGAAATTATGAAACAATACATAGAAACTCAGGAAAAATACAAAGAAGCAAAGTCAAAGATCCCTAAAAAGGGTAAGAGTCGCGAAGATTTTACAATGGATTTATTAAAAAAATTCAAGTCCAAGCTTCGAAACGCTAAGGAGACTAGAACGGAAAGATCGCCATCTCCGCCGAAAAAAGGAATGGACAAAGAAGAGGATTTTGACCCGAGCGACGAATCTTGGATGGTACACGAATTACATTGCGAAGAAAAAGCACCCGTCCTTGCCAAAGATGCAAGCACGAAAGACGACGATTGGTTCGAGATTTACGATCCCAGAAATCCACTCAATAAACGACGAAGAGGAGAAAAGCTACACAAACCGAGAGACGATAAAAGTAGGCAGAGCGACCACCGTCGTAAATAATGTGTATTATTGATAATATTGGTGTAATATTCAAGTAAGGCTTTCTTACATCATTTAATGTATTGTACAAAACTATATGTATATAGGGTGTGTACTGTATGAAATACATTTAATTTCTTTGTCTAAAGAAAAAGTCAAACCGTGGGAAGCTTATCGAATTATCCTTTTACAGTTTACACGTAAGTGTTAATTGATCGCGCGAATGGTATATTTTGTATACGTCGCATTTTGGTGTCGGAAACGAAAATATATTTGAAGGTGTCTTCGGTGCCGTATGGTCGTGTTTACCATACTTTGCGAGATAACTTTAATATTTTGATGACGACGGAGATTAGCGGTAGTGCTATGGTTTGTGCAAATAGACTTACAGATGGTAGCTTATCCCGGGCACAGTAAAAGTTGATAAGGCACTGATACAAAGCATGACATTCGTTCACTGATTCAGTCGATCTGTTGACAGCGAACGATACACATCGTGTATTTACATAACTTTGCGCGATACTGAATATACGTAATTAATTACTACGTTTCATTTATCCCAATTTCAAAGTATTTTATGTATTTTTTTTTTTTGTAGACAGTATATACTTAAACATTTTATCGGTGGACTGTCAGTTCGTTTAATTTGTGTTTGTGCGTGTTATTTTCTTAACAGTATCCACGCTTCAGGAAACCGATCCTGACAGTGTTTTATGCCGTGGTTCTACGGGGAGAATGTCAACGACGCCATTAAAAATAGATACACTCGGTATGCTTTGTTTCGTTCATATATTTTATTAATCGCTTTGATCGTGTGACTGTAACGTGTTGGTTGTTATCTGCGTTGTTGAGAAAGAAAAAAAACCAGTCGGTTTAAGTGTATTTTTAAAAGTAAATTATTCAAGCTTGCATCCAGTACCGATTGTACGTCTCAAGAGAAATTTAGTATAACAGTGTGAGAGAGTACGTTATATATTTTTAATTAGTGTTTCCTCACCTGCTCGGCACGTGGCGAAATCGCGTGGTGTGCTGTGTAGGTGCGTAGACTGTTACACATGCTACCAGAGGTCAGAGATGAACACAATCCTCATCTAGATAACGGATTTTCGATTAACGAATAAAGAATAAACTGATCGTTATTCGTTCAATAAAAATTACTATTTGAGTTACACAATCAAATTATACTTCCGCGTTGAATGAATACAAAATTACTCAAATAGCTGTTGGATCGAATAAACGTTGCGAATAAAAAGCTATACAAATGTTTTATTCGTCATCCATTATTCGAATGAAATTCTACCCGACTCTGGCTACGATGGTGTTGCGAGAATTTCGACTACGGTCCCGTCGAAATCGTGTTCCCATTGATAGGTGAATTAACTTAATTACGCAATTACGGTATTTACTTAGAGCGTCGTAAGCAGCGTGGAAATGTATCGCCCTGAAATTGAATATAGCGCATTCACTCTTCAATCGCATATTCTTCTTTAATGTAGTTCATTTAATCGTAATAGCAGCAATGTATAAACTCCCTCCACAAGATAGAACAAGTTTTATTTTTAAATCCCTATCACCGCGTATCTACATATATGCATAAGGGTCGTTGTACATATGTATACCGGGTGTTCGCAAATTCCCAGCAGTGGACACGTGTGGCACGTATCAAAATAAACAGAATAGTATGGTGGGCGTTCGAAATTCAACTGTTTCCGAACCATGAAATGCAAATAAATTTGATCGTCGTCAGAGGCGCGCGATGTGTCTTCCGGGTATCTGAAATTTAGATTTTGAATATATTATTCTCTTTTCCAACATTGAAAATAACGACTTCATTTTTTGTCAAGAATCATAAAATACATTGATACGCTTATTCGATACGAGCAAAAACAATCATTTATACGAATAAATCTGTAAATATAGATTTTTTTGGTCTATTCCTCTCTCACCATCTGCATGAGTTTGCGGGCATTCTTTATATGCGCCACAGTAAATGAAATACGATTAGGACAATCTGAACGTTTTAATTAATACTCATCGCGATATGCTGTCTTTTATCGTTCGCAAACGGAATCAACTCGTGCGCCGATTTATTAATGTTTGTACCGTTGCTCTGTGTCTCGTAATTTGCATTTAAAAATATTCCATACGCAATTTAGATGCAACATTTATTTTTCAGTAAATATTGATTCAATTCTCGAGATTAATTTGGTCTCGATATCCTTGAACGTTTTCCTCTCATTTCACTTATTTAGTTAAGAAATATTTGTACAGTGACAGTCCCTTGTGTTTAGCACGATCTTCTCGTCAAAGTCATTCGACTTTAAATCATATTGTTACAGTTAATCCGCAAAAAACATATAAATCGATTCCCCATTTCCAAGTAAATTTTTGTTTATCTACGTATCAATTCCGCGAAAGTAAATATAACAGAACTTGGATCGACAAAGAGCGCACGCGTTAGGGAACGCGTGATACGAATGTTTGTTGACATCGTTGACTAATTATTACTTATCGTTAACGTATCGCAGCCCGTAGCATGCGTACTATGCTTCTCAAGACAGACACACGCCTAAGGGAGTATAGTAATTCGAAATATCGAGGTCCGTGTTACGCCCGCTGACATGTGAAAATAAAGAAAAGAAGCATCGTTTAGGAAATTCGTGGAGTTTTCCACGAGAATGTGCGTAGTGGCGAACCTATATAGAACTATGTAATAACTAATCAAGCTTCAGCTTGGTGCCCACAGAGAGCTCCTAATGTGTATCAATTTTTAAACTTAATTACTATTCAGAAGCGTAGAAGACAATTCTCTTTGTTCTTAAAAAAAGATGACTGGCGCAGATACTCTTAATTTGATTGAAAATTCAATGTTGTTAGTATCAACAAGTGGTATTGCTAGAATATCGTAAAATTCAGAGTCGTTTTTAAATATTTAATATTTTTTTCTGATTAGCCTAGATCCGCCATTGGATGCATACACAAGAATATCGCATTGTCGAGTTGGAGTGATAGAAGATAAATTGACCTACCTTCTCTGAACGATAACAGAATGTTCGACAAATAGAAAGAATTATTATTTAGCAGAGTTTTGTTCCTCAAGTGCTAGGGTACACTGAACTGATACACAGTTGTTTCTTCAACTTTGTCTGTCATTCTATGAAAACATTACGCAACACTGCAGTTAAGGATAATATCCAATTATTGATGTACTTTTTGTCATGTTTGCGTCACGATGATTTCAATTTCAAGTAATATTCATGAAACGTCACTGACATTTAGCGTAATGAATAAACATAGATGAAAACATACCGATTACAGCGTGATTGAAGTGACATAATGCGCAAATGTTATATCACGCGACGAAGTAATCGTAATCGTCGTACAATTTTGTATGGAATTCGATATTTCGATGTAACGACAGATGCGTATCGATAGATGTTTGTAATGCAATAAATAAACGAGTCAACACTTTCGATACTAATTGTTTATTAACCTTTAAATTGTAACTGCGAAATAAGCAAATATTTTTCAGCTGTTTATTGTCACTCATTCGAACGATGCATACATTTTTCAGTGAAGCGTCTATGCCTGATTGAAATATTAAATTGCAAATCCATCATCCATTGTACAGGAAAGAAGAAATATTTTCATCACGAGTCATGATTTTCGCACGTGAATATATACATTTAAAGCGTTTGAGAATATTCTACTAGATAAGGCGATGAAAAGTTCAGGAGAAGCTGTATTGAAAAAAAGCAAAAGTTGACCTTAAATGGCCCAAAGTACTGATAGTCAAAACATATTAGTGTCTTTTCTACTATAGCGATTTTTAGTTAATTGTAAGCCAAGAAGTTCCGTGTCTAAAAAGGAAAGACCTCGAATTTCAACTTTTAAATGTGTAGATCATCTGCGAAAACTACGACAAACAATTCGCATACACTCTCGCACGTCTCCTAACGCTTTCGAAGGTGAAATTATGCGTGTGTTTTTGATATTCACTTGGGAGGTCGAGTTGAACGGGAGATTCTCATGAAAATTTTGCAATCCGTAGAGGAGGGTGCTCGTCCAAGAGATTGGCAGCCTCGTAGGTCTCAGTACAAGGTGCCGCTGAGACTATTGCGATTATGTTTGCTCGGGATGTTTCTTCCAGCCGTGTTGGTAGCGGGCCCGATGTACTTGCGATATCGCGTTTATTCCGAGCAATTGTACCCTTTAACCGTCTCCGATCAGAGGCTAATCGATGCAAAAGTGTCGACGACCTGGTGCCAGGTAAGTGATCGTTCTCTTCTTCGACTGCTAATTGACTCTATCATGGTTCGATTCGTCGAATGCATCGAGCAGAATACGAATAAATGAAGCGTTGCTATTAAAAATTGATTCTCCGCAGAGTCAGGTGATCAAAGTTAACACCACGTTCAATGCCTACTTGATGAGCGACGAACCGAAGGTTAAAAGCGAAATACAACCTGTCTCGATGACCAGACACCTAATTCTGGAAGACGATATGAAGGAATACTGGGGCTTTTACCTCCTCAGCGGCAGCAGTGTAACCGTCTCCACTTGCGTGAGGTAATTCACCTAGAAAGAATGAATTAAAGAAAGGTTTAATATTGTTTTAACAAACGCGGGTTATGTGGTAGATGGCCTGGTGCATCCTTGACGATCATTCGTGGACACAAGCATCTTCACGAGTGCGCATTCATCGGGGATGACAGCAGCGAGGAACTGGAGGAACTCCTCGAGGCTGCCAAAGAGACTGGATTTCTCACAGTTAATGGAACGCTACCGGTATTAATTAATTCTTCATTTTACAACTAGATCAATTTCATTTCCAACATAACGTCCTCTATTGTATCTCAGGACGAGAGTCCAAGCAACGCGCCGGAGAAGATGAAGAGAGTTCAGCAGGGAGTGCAGTTCCACCACAAGGACCACGCTCACCTCCACAACAGTTCGAAGCACGCGACGAATCGAATGGAGCATCACTATAACAGCCACGAATTAGACGCCAAAGCGATGAGGACCATCCTCACGGAATTGTTCGCCAAGACTTTAGGCACGAAGAAGAAGCAGAAAGAAAACCCTCACCATCATTACGAGGGCACGTTCGTGGAGACGGCCAACATCGACAAACCGCCCCTTCAATATTCTCCGGACGTCGCTAAGAAAGTGATGAGCAAAAACGCGGAAACGACGAAGACTTTAGAAAAGCTACCCGAGAAGAAACATGAGAAATCGAAGGACGAAAACGATCGACAGAATCGCGCTGTCGAACAAGAAATACTCAGACAGAGGAAGAAAGCCGAGAAAGAAGTGAAAGAAGCCTCGGGGAGGTCGGAAAACATGGGACCAACTTCTTCAGAGGTGTTCCACGATGTTTTGGATAAGATTAGTTCACTGGGCTACCGTGGCCAGAAGATCCTGAGGAGATTGATGGTCGAAATGGAGAAGAAGGGCCCCGAAGGGGAAGCATTGCGACGAGCTGTGAATGAAACGATGAAGGATCAGAAGCTTTCTTTCGAGGAGAAGCAAAGAAGGAGGAGAGACTTGATACTGTCTTCGTCTCTCCAGAGGGAGCTCACGGAGGAGGACGAGGATGGCGATGCTGCTATCGAAGAGGTGGAGTAACCAATGTCTGTTTTTTGGTAGCATAGAGGAGGTCTTAGAAATTCGTCCTGTCTAAGAAGCCCTGGCGTAGACTCGAGTCAAAGATTTATTATAAAATTTATATTAATGGAAAAATAAGATTTAGGTTATTATTGGGTTGTCTGGAAAGTCCATGCCGATTTTTAATAGGTGTTGCAGGTCTGAATATGTCGTAATTGCTGAAAACAAATAACATACGTATATATGTACATCCGTTAAAAAGTGGAAAGGTTGTGGAACAAAATGGTACCTATGTAATTCAATAAATACATTAATATGTACACAAATATATTACAATTCAAATGTGCCTTCGAAGTTTTCTTAAAAATTGGCACGAACTTTCTGGACAACCTAATGCTATTATTTGTAAAAGCACTTTAAGATAGAAAAGATGCCGGTCACTTTCTTATTAGAGGTAATCGTTTAGCTTTAACGCGCGAATGTTTACCTTTAACATAGTCAATATCATTATGCACTATATTGTTTAATTGCTCCGCGAAAGCCTGAGTCACCAGAGTTAGAGGTGGCTCGAATCTAAGCCGCGGGATATCGTGGAAAATTTTCCTCGTACTCCAGTTCGCGATGGCAGATCTCCGAGACATCGATAACGCTCAGCTGAAAGCAATACAACATTTCAAACTATGATACGCCAATGTGAAATTAAACGCGTAGTAATTAAGCTTCGTATCGGCATTGTTCGACAGTTGATTTCGATTTAGATTGAATTAGCTAGCACGGAATCGTTGCCAGAGTTTCTCGAGTATTTACATTCCGTCAATATCTTGATGTCAAACATGTCGACGATAACAGACCAATTTAGCGGATCGTAATCAACCCTTTATCGCAGGAGATAGACGTCCAGGCATTGTTTACATTATCCTCGTTAAAGATTACCGAATCGTCTAATTGTGTCCCGTTTATCTGTGCAATTTATTCTCGCGTAATTCCATCGGGGACGTACCAGACAACCTTCTTATCGGAATGCTGCCTGAGACAATGTTAATATTTGTCTCGGGAGTTTTCATCTTGGTCCAAAAGATGGATTGCAAATTTGGGAAATGTTAGATTAGAGATTAGAGAAATATTATGAGAAATGCTGTTTTTAACCGACTTCAAAAAGGAGAAGAATCTTATCTTTCATTGGAATGTTCTCGATGGAAGATAATTTATGGTGGGTCCCTTAGAGTAGAATCGAACTATTATTCTTTCAACATATTAGCTCGTCCCGAAAGTTTCTTTCGCGAGTTGCACTCAATTATTTTATGTGATCGTGTTTTTATAAATAGACAATCTAATTTCATAGATATTCGTGTTGTAACAGTAATGGAGCAAAATGAATCGTGGACAATTCAGTAATGTAACATCAAACATAAACTATTGCGCATGTATTACTTAATAATAAAGCGAAAGAAACTTTTGGGACAACCTAATATTTTTAAAGTAGCCCTGGTCATTTTGTTTTATTGTGTAATTTCTGCACGTACATCAGGATATGTTGCACCCAGATGGTATCGCCGAGGACAGGGGAACCGTCAACGAGACAACCCTAAACGACAGGAGCAACTCTGAGTTCTGGAGTTCCTTCAGCAGCTCCGAGGAGCGACTCCTGGAATGCAAAGGTCTGATCTTGAATCTGCCATTGACGCCTCATCGATATTGCACCCCTAAATACGAGCGTGATCATCTCGCTGCTTCGTTCGCGAACACAGTCACGTACAGGTACGCGGACACTTGAAAATATGTATGGAATCTCCAGGTGATAAGTCAGATAAGTCTTCGACACTTGAGAAATAAATAACCATGTGGATAACAATCTGAGGAGATATACAGACGTCTCAAGGCTGGCAGATGTGCTCGTTTATTAATCAGACATTTTTAAAAAATCAGACATATTTAATTAAAAAAATCTTTGTATAATAGATATCTTAATAGTATTCTATCAATAATTTATTAATAGATCCATTTGAAAGATTCTGCTGGTATCTAGATACTCTCCTTAATTATGTAATAATAATTATAGATATCTCATACATATCTCATTATTAATAGTTATTCCCTTGCTTAAAGACACTTTATTTCATATCTTGATGCAGCATGAAATCCTACATCTGTACAATTCAATTGATCGAGCATCAATGATAATCAAGATACGAATAGCCAGCATCAAGATCTTGATTTTAATTCTTACGTAATTAAAGATAACGAATTAAATTTATTGGAAGCAGATTGCGTGTTTCGATTACTGTCACTGATGTCATTCGCATATAAAACATTTCTTTAACAACATTTAATAGATCATTTTCAATGGTCTATAAAATTAAACAGGTATACATTTGCACCAAAGCCTGTAATAACTTGTATCTATCATCAAAAAATACTATATTTGTTTGATATCTCATAAAATTCTAACGTAAAAGATGACGATCTGTTCCAGGGTGCCCATGAACGGCTACTACTTCTTCGTCTTCAACTCCGAGAACGAGATCCAGCCCAACTTCCTGCGGGTGCGTTTCGACCTCCTGAAGACTGTCTACAACATCTCCAATCCTGTCCACTCTTGCAAGAACAGTACAGCGGAATGTTCGCTGCCGTTTCGAATCTTCAGCAGCGAGAGGACCGTTTTGGAGTTGCCTTTGAGCGGGAACGACTCCCAGTGGAACGAGGAATATGTTGTGGTCTCAACGTGCGAGCCTAGGACCTCTATTTATCTACTCTGCATCATGCTGGTGCCATTGCTCATCCTCGTGTTTGCGTTTCACTGACACCGCGCCTACCGTCAGGCCGTCGAAAGGACAGTATTCCGATAATGCTCACTTTTTGTAAATATTAGGCTTAAGTCGACCTAAACACAAGCCATTGTCGCGAATGGCCAAGTACAACAGTATTTCTTTTCCTCCTGGACAGCTGCGATTCACTAGCTGGTTTGTGATAGTCAAAGAAAAATAGTTATAGTTCACTGTCTGCGATAACACGGGGAAGAACAGAGGCGGTGATAGTAACGCTCGACATATGTAGTTAGACTTTTATAAGTATGTATATAGTACTAGTACGTTTTATAGACTTTATCATATGTGATGCACTAATAGATTAGTACCATACGAGATTAGTTTCTTGTCAAATACTGAAATATTTTTATTTTCTTATAAAGAATATAAATATTCTTAGTTTTTCTGTTCCTATAAGGAACTGATCGATCACTGTCTCTATCCAATATTGGATATCACGAATTAACTCAATTTCACATCGTTCTGTGACCCTAAAGTAGTCTTCGACGTTTATTTTATTTATTACAAGGTCTTGCTCTCCTTAATTTATTATCCTATCATGCTATCCGACGTACTCCTAGAAGCTTTTCGTCGCCAGTTGCACGTTATCGATCACTTTGGGATTAAGTTTGTAAACTAGAGACCGCAAAGACGATTTATATTTTTAATAAAAAATAACCAAATAACTGTATCAATCGTTTAATATGTATTTATTAGATGGATAAGGACTCGTTGTGTTAAGTCATTAATGTACAATAAGAATACAAAAATAAAAAAAATCACTCCAAAAATTACGTCCTTCGAGTGCATTAAATTTTGAAAAGACTTCAAGAAATGGTAAAAAAAGATTCAAGAATACACTATACAAAGTACAGGTGAGAACATATTATCTGCAACTGCATATATAAAGTTCACAGAACAAAATAACTTTCATACAAATTTTGAATTCCTCCCGAAAATCATTTTTAAACTGATTACAGAATCAATCCTCCGCCGAGCATGGATAACTCATACAATGGAAATACGTCGCAGTGAATAGCAACAAGAAATTGTTTCTCCTTTCGTTAAAAATTCAAGGACACGATTCGAGGGGATAACAGGAAATATCGTCGTTGGCGAAAAAATTGGCGTGACCGAAACGACGTTAATTAAGCGTCGGGGGTAATCCTTTACGTCTCTCGACATCTTAAAAATTAATCCCCGTCCTATCTGTTCCTCTAATCCGTGAGATTAATACTTCATGCCGATGCGAGAGCCTTCCAACAACTTGACCCTGCGATTCTACGGCCGGGGGGATGCGAGAGGACGGCTTTCGGAGGGTTTCGGGGGCGGAGCATCCCTTATCAGCACCGAACACTCGTGCTTCTCGCGCAGCCTCCGTGGCCGCTTCAATGACTTTTCGCAGCCAATTCACACTGGCGTGCCAGGGGTTCTTGTACAGCGAATGTCCTTGCTCGATACTCATCTTGGTGCACCACCAACGGGACGCTTTATCTGACTCTGTTTAAATGAAAAATAACTGTCTTTAATTGCTCTCTGAGAAATGGGAAGGAGGGGTTGGAGGGGATGTAACGTCAATGTACTATATTTTATCTAGGCATTTTAGCGGAGCAACGTTTTTGAATTGATTTTATATTTAACCTTGAGATTTGATAAGAAATTGTTCGAATAAATTGGGCAAAGAAAAGCTGAAATATATATGATGGATATAAACATCCCCCGCGTTTTTTTTTATGTTTTATTTTCGCCCGTACCGTAATTTGTCGAAGAACAATTAATTTAGTTCACTTGATTCATTTTCAAACTTTCAGAACTTGCAATATTTTCTCTGGTCTACCGGTACTTTTTTTTCCAGGTAACGCTGCATCGATTTCGAGAGTTCACGTTCTGGAACTTGGACAATTCCAGTAGCCGCGTCTGTCAGCGAAGAGTCGCACGTGGAAAACAAACACTAATAATGGGATTAATATGGGGCGGCTGGTTGACGGCGATAACGAAAATTGATTTCACCCTCGTGCCCTTCGAAAACCCCTCTCTCTCCCTCTGCGCTCCTCGAGGCTACCCCACGGCATGGGGATCCCATTCGAACGCGTTGACGTTTCATGGGACACTGCGCAAAACCGGCGACACGCCTCTTTTCTATTGGCATGGCCTGCCCAACGGTAATTCTTTCAGCTCGACCATATTCCATTCCTGGTTAGGTTCGTTGCCTCGCTGATCGTACCACCCTCCCATGATAACGAGACCACGATTCTTTTTCTAGGACAATCTTTGTATTCACAATCTTGATCTTTTATTTTTGATCGTTATACTTGTACATTTTCTTTTATTTCCGAGTTTACTTTTGTTTACTACCCCTAGGATGATTTTTATAGTTTCTCTTCAGGGGTCGTTTGAGACCCCTATCGATCTCCAATTTTGTCAGCCATACTCGAATTTCAACGAGACGAATTTTTATGATAAATGCAAATATAGAACGAATGAACTGATAGAATCCTGTTAAAAAGATTTATGTGTGGCCACACAGGCTCGGAAGAGAATTTTATGGTCACTCGATGAGCGCGCGAGTGTATTTCACAGAGAACTATAATACCTAATTCGTATTCTCTGGCACGCGCAAATTGAGCTGTATGTTACTAAATCTGTGGGAAACCGCTACAAAACCCGCCACCCCTGCGCGTTTTAGGGCCGCTCCTATCGATTCGATGGGAATTTCGTATGAATTTTTTGAACGTGAATAAATCACCCTCCCTTCTGTATTCTCAATCCACGTATTTCTCAAGACTCGTCAAAATAACGAACGAAGGGTTGAGATCGTTCAATAAATTTATTTTAAATTCTCGTATAATTAATTTCCTGTTTGTATAAAAGCATATCGATATATTTATTCCACATTTTACCACACTTTCCCCCTGTGTGTCAAACACCATATGCGGTCGCAATAACGGATTAGCGAAGATTGATAAAAAAAAAAAGTCACCCCTCGAATGGCCACGTTACGAATAAGGCACGCGGCTTCATTCAACAGTGACGCACGTGCCATTTATACGCCTTTTATTTCCAGATTAAGGTGTCGATAAAGTTAAAAAGTGGCATCCTAATGGTGGCATTAAAATATCGACGGAAAGGACGGATTTCGATAAGGGTGGCTTTCAGCCTCGAGTTTCCCACTTCTTTTCGGGAAATGTTCGATGCGCCAACAACGTTCACGCTCGTAACTTGTCGTATTTTTTTTCATAATTAGTTATTCCTCTATAATTCACATGAATTTAGATTTTTCGAAAGAAATTCTATTCCAGAGCCACCAGAGTACTCGAAATTATTTCATTTTATCTTAAATCAGAACCCAGTAAAGGTTTCGGATAGGATAGAGAGTCGCAGCAAAATTACAACGAAAATCAGTTGAATTAATTTTGAAAGTAGAGTACGAAATACATCGTATAATTTCAGAAATACTAATATTTTACAGAGATAGACAAAATTCATTTCAACAGAAAAAAATGCAATCGCACGATATCCCCGAAGTTCTTTGTTCTGTCTTTTAGGTCGCAGCGAGTAAGAAAATGGTTGTTTCGTTATCTTCTACGCACGGAGGCTCGTGACTAAAATCTGTCTCCACCTTCTTCCTGTTTCATCCCATTAGCATCTGCCTCGAAGATGCTTCCTACACAATTAAAGAACAAACAACATCGACTCACGGCCTTATCTAATCGCCGGCGCGCGGCGTTATCAAACGCGATGCGAACTAGGTTTCACTTTTTTTCATCAAAGTCATTCATGTTTCTTCGAATACCATTGCACGAGAATCTGTCGTACTACTCAAATACTATATAAAATTTATTTATTACATAGTTAAAAATTTGCAATCTCTAGTAGATTCTTGATATAAACATTAACTCGGATGACGCATATGTTTCCGAAGAAACAGTACTCTATTAACAATCTATGTTGTAAATCTTTTTCATAATCGCTTTAGTACGTCACGTCGTATATGCGTCGCTCACGATGTTTTACAATTATTACATAGTACAATAAACCAGAGACGATATAACGAGGATCGGTATATCCGTGTGCAAATGCTTTTGTTTTAACGTGACTAGTCAAATCCAGAAACTATTTCGTTTGTTCACGATAGTGTATCTTCGATGATTGATAGCTTCTTCGGACACTACGAGTTTGTTGATCTTAAATATTTCCCGTTCTTTATAAAATCTACTATAATTATCTATATACCTTTGCAAGTAATTCCCTGTAAGAGTTACTTTTCGATACTATTTTTGTATTTTGATCGTTTCGTCACCGAACTTCAATTTTATTTTTTTTATGACAAACTTTTTTATAATTATTGACCGTTTAGACGAAATTAGTCTAGCTCCCACGCAGATTGGCCAGTAATAGCGCTCGAATGAACACGATCGCAGATTTAATCATTTAATCGGGATGGGACGATGACACCCTACGGTTCATCCCTCTGGAAAATCTGTAGCACCCTTCGGAGGTGTCACAATAAAACAGCCCGTGGCTGGTGGCCACTTGACAACGACTGGGGGTTCGCTAAACTCTCACCCCTAATGTATATTAAACAAGGCTCCCTTCTTTCTGCCCCTCTCCACGTTGACTTTCCAGAGCGCTGCTAATCAGAATCTAATTATTTCAGAATGCATATTCGCAAATCAAAATCGAAAACACTGGCAACGAAAATTTAATGGTCGACATACATCAACGGCGTAGTAAGAAATTAAAAAAAAATTTATTTTTTGTAATATTAATATAAGCACGAGGTACGAGGATTCGTTATATCGAAAATTCAATTGAAAAATCGATGTTCCTCGGTTTCGGTCGTGTCTGGAACGGTCTAACAGCGACCTAAGGGTCTCCGAAGAGCGGAGGGATGCTGGATACGTATGGAATAGTATGGGATGGTCCGCAGAGGAGCTCCACCCATGAGGCCTGCGCTCCGCCTTCGCAAAATTCATTTTCCCGGGGGTTGCACCGCACTTTCTATTAGTTAAATCGGCCCGTCTGGACTCGTCAGTCGGTTTAACATCAGCTGGGATCGTAACCCGGTGATATCTGTCGTAGAAGTGTCCTCGGACGGCTTTCGGACAATTTTACTCTTTTTAACTGGGAATTTTGTTGGTGGTACGAGCGCGAAAGTGAACGAAATCTGCCACTTCGACATGGTAAGAGTTTTCCGCGACGATAAACGCTCGATGGATTCTAATTTCACTTCCTGGAACGGTTTCTGTATTTTTTGTTGACTTGGTATATTCTTCTGTGTATAAGTTTTAGAGAGTTTAGAAGCGCCGGAGGTGCTCGAAGGTTATTTTAGAAGAGAGGTGATAAATTCTGTGGTCGAGTTAGTTTAATTGTTGCTAGGATGTTGCGTTGTACTTCAAGGTTTTTCGATAACGAAGGTCTCGTTTGGTTTGTCAAATTTATAAATTACGAGCAAGAACGATAAACGTTCGTGATTCTTACGGTTTGAGTCCCTATTTAAATTAATTACAAGCTCTCTGTAAAATAATTATTTTAAATTAACAATGGAATAAAGAGTGAGAGCAAAAAGTGACGTAAATAATATATAGGAGACGTGCTTTCGTGCTAGAGGAGAGTGAGTGTTGCGCGTTCTTACTTTAAATTGTTTCGTTAATATTTTGATAGAGGAAAGAATTCATATTTTCATTACTCAGCTCAGCAATTTATACATGTACCATTCAACTGATCGATAAAAATATGAATTTCTCTCACCGCCGAAAAAGCTAATACTTTAATTTCTAAGTTAAATTTCTCCGTCATTCTTGCTTACAAAGACCAATAAATCACGGCAGTCTGGCCAGACGTGTCTTCGAGTTTGAAATTAAGCTCTCTTGAAAAGTAAGACCGATCAACGCGAGCATAGAATAGAGTAACTGGCACGCATACACACGTATCTACTGAATGTCAGGGACAATAGCTCGGAGAGGGTGTGATACGAGCATCCTGTTGGCGCAATGTGGGCTAATTTCGTCCGTGATAATTTAACTAGATTTCCCGCGTCTTTTGTCATCGACCATTTAATCGTGTTGCACGTTTGGAAAACATTGGATGAATTCACTCTAATTTAAATAATACGAGAAGTTGAGACGAACGATCGGCGTGGTATGCTCGATGACGAAGAAACGGAGACGAATGATTGACAAATTCCAGTCGATGCTGACGTACAACGGGTGTTCCGGAGTGACAGTGGACACGGAGAATGGTTCCCCAGCGGAGTCACTGTTGTCCGCTGAAGGAGAGGAAGTCGGGGATTCTCCTAGCACACCAAGAGACACCGAAGAAGAAGCTACCCTTTCGGATGAGTTCTACTCCCACGACACGGACGACGAAGAGGACCAAGGCAAGAAACGACGGGACCGCGCCAATTCTGTGAGCAAACAACTGTACAGTTCGATTGTCGAGCCAGTTTTCTGCGAACGAGCAGAATTAAATAACATCGTATATTTAATTTGATTCTAACAATTGCCTGCGATAATTTCATAGCTAGACGGTATATCATCCGGGAGCGGTCACCTCGGATCACCAACGCCTCGAGTAGGAACTCTGGGTGTTCGAAAATTATTCACGAACAGCCGAGAACGTTGGAGACAGCAGAATGTAAGCGGTGCCTTCGCTGAGCTTCGAAAATTGGTACCCACTCATCCACCAGACAAGAAATTGTCGAAGAACGAGATCCTGCGTCTGGCCATTCGGTAAAACATTTACTAACCTTTAATAACCAATCGACTTTCAACTATTTACTTTGCAATCTGACGCTTTGTTCTGTAGACGCAAACTTGAAGTCTGCTATTGTGACTTCTATCTTTTTCTCGAAGGATCCAATAGTCACCGTCTCTGTTGATATCTCAAGCAATCAACTAAAACTGACCCATTTTCAGATACATACGTCTCCTAAGCAACGTCCTGGAGTGGCAGAAGGCCCAAGACCGCAACGACGCGACGCAGCACGAGGTACGAATCAAATGCGAGCCCACCTACAACGCTCAAAATTCGACAGCCTATCCCACGAAACCCGCCGTGGCGTTTCTAAAACAGGAGAAGCAGATCAACGACAACCACAACGCCTACAGGACGAACTTCGCCGCGCAGAAGCAGCTTCAGCATCCAGTATCCCACGTGGCCTGCGACAAAAACGGCAACAACCTGCTGATGATCGCTCCTGCTGGCCACAACGTCACCGTCGCGGTAAACAAACGAAGCGCGACGCCTTCCACCATAGCCGTTCAGAACACTTTTCCACCTGGGGTCCTGAGCAACGGGGGTTTGATACGTTCGCCGGTTGGTCCACGACCTTCGGGCTTCCCCAAGTCGCCACAGATCAACGTGCAGGCCGTTAGCAGCCCGAACATCCTCAGCAACTCTTCGAGTACGCCTTTGACTAGCAACGCGACTTCTGTCGGCGGAAGTGTGTCGACCTGTGGCCAGAAGAGGCTGAAGATTGAAAGGGAGGACGAGGAACAGTCCAGCCAGGGCAAAGACTGCAAAAATATGCCACCTCATAGTGTCCCTGCGAGGAAGAGAGCGAAGGTGTTCATCAGAGATTCGAATTCCGGGTTTCGTAACGATTTTCGGAGCGTGGACCGCAAGTAAGAGAGGTGAAAAGACCATGTTTATCTACTTGTGTCGGTCGAAAGTGGTTCCTAGGGGTGATGGAACCGTTCGTTTGAAAGTAGCGTGTATAAAGCTATCTTGGCCTTTGGAGCACTAATGGGGTAGAAGATGTTGACTTCTTGGTGACGAGGGTTTGTCCCGTGACAGGTTCAAATGGCTTAAGTGGCCTGTGTGATACGCGTGGAATCGTAACGATATGGATTCTGAAATGTCTGATCTTATTTTGTAGATAGTCGTTGGACAGATGAACTTTGTGGAATTCATTCTGAATGTGCAATAATATGTATTCGACGAGTAACAGGATCCTCGAGTCGATTGTCTATTTTAACTCTCCTCCAAAACTTGGAAGTTTAATGTCTATATCGCATAATTTATTATTATATCAAGGGGAAGGGAAAGAAGGGAGAGGAAGGTGTTCATGTTACTAGGAACGAATTTATCGAAATATATCAAAGTTACATACATGTTCGTGTATATTATTAACAAATACAAAGCTCCATCCTATGAGTTACGAAAGAATTCTATGAATTTTATGTTCTAAGATAATATTGGGTCTCGCTATGACAACGTTGCCGATAAATCACCCTCTATATTATTTTTATCAAATTAAAAGAAATGTAAGGAAGCGTCTATGATTTCTTTGTTCAGTTCTGCCCAAGCAATCGTTTTATTAAAGAATATTATGCAACGTTCACAGAATCCTCGAGATAAGTAGATAAGAAATTGTTATGCTCTAATGATTAGTTCATGCTAATATGTAGTTCGGGCACACAGAGTAATATAACTGCATTTTACACCTCGGTTCTGCCAATTGGATTACTCGGCTTATCAGTGGAGGTTATTTGTAATAGGAGGCTTTCTTAGACGCGACGTCATTAAACGTTTGAAGATTCTGTTCAAACTAATTAAGCACTGTTGTGTGTTCTCAAGATGATCGAACTCGCATTTTTTTCAAAGAATATTTTATTAGTTACACTGTATTACATCGTTTGTACAGCATTAGGTGTAGCATTGTTCATGCGATTAACGTTGAATTGCAATCGTACATGGCGTGACGAAGTGTACCCATCAACATGGTGCGTCAACAATTCAAAAGGTATCAAAACATCACCGATACAACACACCCAATATTCATCGAACCTCATGAAAGACATTATACGTATTCGCCGCGATAGTCGTTTACAATCCAGCAACGTCGCTATGAATCATACAAGAGCCACTGACATATAAACTTCCAAGTCACTGGCAAAAGTCTTACATCGAACGTGGAAAAATGGAGCGTTTTGTTACATGCAACAATAATTATAATTCCTCTACGACGACAGGACTAATGGACAGTGTCCGATAAAATAAACCACGGGACCCTGATTTACCAAACACACCTGCAATTTGCTTCCAAATCATGGTTACTTTTATTCGACGGAAACATAAAACTCCACTGAATTGTGTACAGCAACGCTCGGATATTGATAGAATCCATTGCTCGGATTAACGATCAGGAGTCACTACGATTTACTTCAACTCGACAGTCGTGAGAAGAAAACTAGATAGAATTTCACCCAATTCCAAGATACTGCACGCAGTAATACCTCGGATATTGATAGAATACCTTGCTCGGATACCTTCTTCGACTCAACAGCTGTGAGAACAAAAGTTGGATATCTTCTTCGTACACAAGATTCTCTACTCATGCTTCGGATATTGCTAATCGACCACTCCGAACGTTACGTGAGGCACTGCTGTATCTTCTCCGCTCGACTTAGTCCCCAAAAAGGAAGGCAACAATTCGTGCAAATGTCCTACTGAGTCTCAGGAACACTTGTTTACGTCAGATATACTTTGTATCTCGTGCTGTCCCTCTTCTGGCGTTCGGCGAGTTGCTTCAATCGGGCAGCCGCGTAACGATCATCGTTCCATTCTACAGGTGGCACCGGGGCGGAAGGTCTTTCTTCGGTTTGACTGAAAGCTCTTCGCGGGGGGAGCTCCACCTTTTTGCTGGTGCTCTTGCAGTCCACGCTAGCACGTTTCGCTACGGAGAGGCTGACACCCGCGTGAGTGGTGTCACTGGCGCGAGAATCCCTCTTCAATGGGTTCACTTCATCGTAGCTTTCTCTAGACTTGTTGCTGGCGTTGGACTCCCTCTTCAGAGGGCTTGCTCCATCGAAGCTTTCTCTAGACTTGTTGCTGGCGTTGGACTCCCTCTTCAGAGGGCTTGCTCCATCGAAGCTTCCTTTGGACTTGTTGCTGGCGTTGGACTCCCTCTTTAGGGGACTTACTTCGGCGTAGCTTCCTCTGGACTTGTTACTAGCGTTGGATTCCCTTTTCAGTGGACTTACTTCAGCGTAGCTTGCTCTAGACTTATTACTAGCGTTGGATTCCCTTTTCAGAGGGTTCGCTTCGTCGAAGCTTCCTTTGGACTTGTTGCTAGCGTTCGATTCCCTTTTCAGTGGACTTACTTCAGCGTAGCTTGCTCTAGACTTATTACTAGCGTTGGATTCCCTTTTCAGAGGGTTCGCTTCGTCGAAACTTCCTTTGGACTTGTTGCTAGCGTTGGATTCCCTCTTCAGTGGACTTATTTCAGCGTAGCTTCCTCTAGATTTGTTGCTAACATCGGAATCCTTCCTCCCTGGACTCACCTCAGCAAGGCTTCCTCTGGGCTTGCAGGTAGCGTCAGAGGACTTATTTCTCTCAATTTGACGATGATCAACAGCGGTGCGCGATGCTTGCGCTGATTTCGTCGATGCTCTTCGAGTCTTCTGGTCGTAGTCATCCGAGTAAGTCCTCCTCTCCTTTATTTTTGGCTTTGTCGAACCCAGGTCCTCGCTATATCTAAGCCTCTCGTTGAACTTCCTCAGCCGTTCCTCGTAGTCGCAGGTCGATAGTTCAGCAGCACCTGGGAGCACTTCTTTCTTTGGTGCTCGCTTGAGCTCCTGGTGGACCGACTGCACCTTGGTGTCCTTCAGCTATAGTTTCGAGAACGGAATCAGTAAAATTTATTTTATAGGAAGAAATTGGATTAAATTGAATTAGAATCGAATATCTTTGCATTTATTAACTTTTACCTTGATGACGCTCACTCTGTCGTTGAACTCCAAATCCTGGCTGTTCCTGCGAACCGGCTGATTGGTCTTGTCCTCTTCGCTGCTGCTCTTACTGATCCACATGTTCTCTCGTCGAGCATTCGTCGCCCTCTTCGGCCACTCGTTCTCCGTTTTGAAGTCGTACAGGTCCCGCATACGCTCCGTAAGTCTGCTAGACTGGTCATTGGAGTCAGGGGACTTCTTTGTCGACAGTGGATCTCCATTTGCTTCGGAGTCATCTGCAATTATCCGTTCGCGTATTTACCAAGACCTTCCATTCCTTCTAGAGAGTATACGAGGCTTACGTTATTTTTAGCGAAGTGTATTAAAGTTCAAAGACGCGATTATATATACCGATTACTTGCTTTTAATTTCTAGGCTAAGAAGTAGGCTTGCAGGTTTTCGATATCTTTTGAATTTACTCCAACGCATTAAAAACAATAGGGATTCAAGTTGTAAGATTCGGCTCGTAATTGTTCAATTGGAGGATTAATTTATGGGCATGCAAGTATTTAAAGGATATTTTTTCTTTGAAGGATAAAATAAAATGTATGCAGTAGTGGGTTAAAAATTATATAAGCATACATAAAATTGATTGTTTTGATATAGTCAGAGTATAGTATAATAGTCTTGTGTTACTGTAACTCTCAGTGATAATTATCGAAAAATAATGCAAATTATATCCTCCACCCTCCGGTTCCAAAGACATAGTACACTTAACAAATATCGTTTGTCTTCGGTAGCTCCAGTGTTAAATCGATAAAAATTTGTCCAAAGTTTCGTTAGAATCGACGCCTTCCAATTTCTCCTTCGTCAAACAATCATCGTATACGTCGTTATCGATCATTCTTTTTTATTCTGGTAAACAAAGACCATCAGCTCACCTTGCTTTCGAGCAGTGTCTTTATCATTCTTCGCCGACGAGAACTTTCGCATCGGTTCCCACTTGGGCGACTCGCTCCTGAAAGACTTGCGAGGGGAATCCCCGGTCGGGGGACTTCCCTCTTCGGCGGAGGACGACTTTCTTTCCGGGTTGAGTCGCGGAATCGGCGACGGCGAGGGATTCCTGACAAACGTCATCCACCTGGCGGCGGCGTATCTCGTGATATCCTTGGCGAACGGAGGCGCGTCGTAGCGGAACCTTGAGGTGTTAATTCGCGGTAGCCACCTAAAGGTATTTGGTATTCAGAAACCCAGTGTGTGCGTCAGACGCTCGATAGATTTGCTTAACACCAGAAACGTTCAATGCTTTGTGTATGTATATATATATATATATTTTTTTTTTATGTTTTTCATTCGATTATATTTACCGTAAACGAGAGCCCTGCGTCGTACAATACAATTTTCTGCGCGACATCGAATTACGTATATGTACATATACATATAAACATAATTTTGCACAGCGACGTGGGAACGTGTCACTATCATCGATATACAGTTTAGTGCATACGTTTCGGTACCATTAGCCACGAGTTACGATTGGTAATTCGGTTATACATGTATACATATATATATGGATATATTTAGAGAGAGATATCTTTATCGTTCACGGCATTGGTTTGTTTTTGACTAAGAAAATGTGCTCTGTCAACCTCGTCGCGATCATTCGTGGGTCGCTGCACTCCGTATTCCTTCGTTCCTCGACGAGTTTTGCGGTTTTAACATGGCCGACGTCCGCGCTTTGACTCCTGCCCGCTGCAGTTCTGTGAGTAGCCGATGTGAGCGTATTGTTTCTCTTTTCGATACTCTTGGTCTCTTCTTCTTTCATGGGAGACAGTTTCTTCAGCGTGGCGGTGCTTATCTTGTTAGGATCGAGTCCCGAGTCGTCGACGTCGATGGTCACCGAGCGTCGCTTCTCTTCGACGTCGATGGTCACCGAGCGTCGTTTCTCTTCGACGTCGATGGTCACCGAGCGTCGTTTCTCCTCGACGTCGATCGACACCGAGCGTCGTTTCTCTTCATCTCGCGACTGGGGGGACTTCTTCGTCGCTGGCTGGATCCGCGAGATGGTTTTCGGTAAAGGTATCCACCTGGAAGGATCCAGCTTGCTCGTGTCCGGGATCTCCGTGTGCCTTCTCTCCTCCACTCGCCTCTCCGTGTACTTCTTCAGACAGTCCACGTCCGCGCTGCGACTCCTCTGACTGCGAGGAGACCTAGATGGTCTTCGTTGACCGGTGCCCACTGGGCCAGCCCTCTCCTAAGCAAGATGTAGTTTCGCATAATCCGATATATGCAAAATACCGTGTTCCGCAGACGCGACGTGCAGGCTAGAGCCACAGGCTCGAGGATTTATTCTAGCCGTGTGCAATTCGGATATCTGGCTGCTGCACGCCGCTGCAGGGTCTCCGCTCGATGCTAGGGATCCGTTCCAAAATTCGTTACCTGCGAGAGAAACAATCGATATTAACGATCGACTTTCTAAGCAATTTAAAATTGACTTCCTGGACTTCGTAAAATGAAAATCTGGAAAATTCGACAACCTGGGTGTGCGTTTCCATCCCACGCGTACGTCACCACGAGAAGCTTGTTTGCGTCTGTAGCTCTGAAGAGTTTGCTGTGAGGCTCCCTAAGAGCGAAGTGAATCTTTATATCTGAAAGGAGATGATAATTTACAGCGATTGTTCTAACGAAAACGATGAATAAAGGTTGCTAGCGAACCTCCTAAGTAGTCGCCATTCCCTGCGTCTCCGCACTTCTGTTGGCCAAAATACGCGAACATTATGTCAGAGACGTACTTCAGCTTCTTGTTCATCTTCCTGATGGCGATCTCGAACGTCTTCAGGAAACATAATTCTTGGTCTTGAATTACCTTCCACACCCCTAGAAATCAGATTTTAATCGTAACGTTGTTCGTAAACACTATATACAACGAAATATTGAACTGAATTTAACGTAAAGTACCTGTTTGAAATAATTGGATCCTGAGAATTTAATTTCATAACCAGACAGAAAAAGTGCTTACTAACCGAGACCAAATCCTACGACGTGTATGAAGGCAGTGGTATTTTGTTTTTCAGCTCGAGTGTTCGCTTCGAGAAGAATGATTTCCACGGTTAGCAGCGTTCTCTTCATGTAGTTTTCGATGTCGAAGACAGTTTGATTCGATAGGGAAAGGTATCTCTTGTTTTCCTTCGATTTGATGCGTTTCATGATTTCATCGTAGAGTGGCAGATAGAGTTCACCGTAAAATCTTGCCCATATAACGCGTAGTCCGTGTATCGTTTCTAAACCTCCACTTGTTGTTGGTCCATACCTATCACGTCAACAAAATGCATCAACTTTAGACCCAAGTACTTTGGCTCGTCAAGTTCAGATTTGTCGTATAAAATTTACTTGGAGGACTCTAAGATCTAGATAAATTGTCACAGGTTCATCTGCCACTGAGCACTTCGCACCTTACAAATCGATAGATTGCGTTAAAAAAGAATGACTATATAGGCACGTGTACAGTCTGGGTTGAAAGTGGCACGACTCACCCATTATCTGCGTTATTTTGCAAAGGTGTGACGAGGATGTCCTGGTATTCCATGACGCGTGGTCGAGCGAACCTGCGAATAGTATAGCGAAAGGTGAAACGGATGCTGCGGCAGTTGTAATAATTTCTGCTTCATAGTTAAATAAATAGAAGAAACCTTGTTCCCACGACACCCATAATGACTCCTCTCGGCTGAATGGAGTCTGGATCGGTAGTCACCACGCCTCTGTTCTGTCGGGAGCCGTCGTTTATGAATTCAGTGTGGGAGGACATCGCCATCATCGCTGACAGCTTGATCTCGTCGTAGGACAAACATTTTGTTAGGACCTGTCGCGGAGAAAAACTATTTACGTCATTTGAAATCCTCTGGTTCAGATTTTGTTAAGGACTGATTACGTAGATTATGGCAGAAGCCAAGTTGCAAATCCGTTGTGAGAAATAAAATACCGACCAGAGGCTCCTTCTCGCGATCGGTGCCAACGCTCTCCCATCCATCGACGCCGCTCTTGCCATCGATCAGCTTCCATCGATCGTCAGGCCCGTAGAAGTACACCGCTCGTTTTTCCAGCAATCGATGAATGAACTGTATCAGTCCCATGTCCATGTACATGGCCCTCTCGACGGCACTGCCGTACAGTCGTTTATGCTTCAACCAACCAGCCAGCAATGGCAGCATCGCCTCGTGTATCAAAGGGTAAACCGAGTTCGCGTTCATCTGCAATTTAAATTTCGAAATCGAGATAATCGATCGAACGGAAATGCAGCCGGGCGTTCTATTGAACTATTAGAAGTGGATCAACATTCTGCAAGTGCGCGAATTCGATTAAATGTTCTGCTTTACTCTTGAAACCAATGAGCTCGTAGAGATCACGAAATCTTTTTCTATCTATTATTATTCTGAATGGTTCGATAGTTTCGTTTTCTTCGATACAATTCTTTCGATACTTGAAAGACTACACTGGTCTACACTGAAGTATCATTCTAAGGGAATTTAAAGAACCGAACCTCGAGGATGTCCGTGGAAACCCCTCTGTCTCTGAGGGCGGAGCACCTCGGTGTGTTAATTGGAAAGCGTATGGGGAAGGCTTCGCTTCGCTTGATGATTTGTGCCAGGGTCGTTGGCGACGGTGCCGCGACGTCCAGGCATTTCCTGAGGAGTTCCTTCGTGTCTTCGTCGAATGGCACGCCGTTTGGCGCACCCAATGTATTCTCCCACGATATTTCAGGTGGCTCCTTCAGCAGAGCCTGCTGGCGAACCTCCTCCATTCTCCTATGATTCTGCAAAATCACACCCAATTACCATATGACAAACTCGACGTGTAAATTCTTTGATTCCCCCAGTACGTTCCATCAAAAACAACGAATAGTTTCGATTTAAGAGAGCGAGGACGGTTTTGCGCTCAAGGTGTTTCAGTTGTGTATTCCAGGTCCATCTTCAGGCTGGGAGAGTTGCACGAATCGTCGACAGAATTTTCAATAAAAAATGTTCTCTTTAAATTAAAATTTAAAATTAAAATTAAAAGTGCAATTGAATTTTTGCTAGGAAGACTTTTCTATCGACTTTTGTTTTCAATTTATGCATAGGTACATCATTATGCATTATTCTTTTACGTAGCTTTTCACTCGCGTAGCGACCACGGTTGTCGGTAGTAGTGGATGTGGTTTATTTCCAGCCTCACGGCCTTGAAAAGGGCTGGGAGGGTTGGATGTACACTTTACCTAATAAGATTTTCCCAGACATATCACACATTTTCCTCCTTGGATGTCGGATATGGTGGGTCGAGTCCTCGTATTTTATTTAGTGAAAAATAGAGTTATAACATCCATTCGCAGTTAATGGTAGTTACTTTTTCTAGTATTTTGCTTTTTCATATATACATTCTTAATTACTAATAATTTCCAAAGATGCCTCAAATAGTTCTCAAAGAGCATCAAATTCCCCACGGAAAACTCAAAGAAATATTTCCTCCATCTTCTCCCTCCAAAAAAAAGAAACGAAAAAAAAATTGTCTCCTTCAATGAAATCAGATTAATAAACCTACATCCCTTATAAACGATCGAATGAATACATTCTTTCGCTCGGAGAAGTACGTTTGAAGTATGACGACGCATCGATCCACGTTACTTTCTTTCACGGTCCGAAATAACTTTTCTCCCGAGCCGTCAAGACACGTGCAGGTGCGCGACGACTCCAAGAAAATTTGCAGAATCAAAGTCGCGTTCTATTAATACACGAGCGCTGATTAGAGCAAGGACGCGATTCTCTTTGATAGTTGAGCATGAAATCCGTTAAGTAGCGGAAAATGTATCCGTTCACCCTCGAGTGTTACATTGAACACGCTCTCCCAGCCCCTGTCGCGAAGTTAACTTCATTTTTCCGTTTACCGATTCTGCCACCTGAGCGACAGGGGTGAGCAAGAATTAAGGCTAGCCCGCGGTCGTGGAAAAAAAAACCGGTTGCAGCGTCGATTTTTTTTTTCTGGTAAACAAGCGTCTCTCTTGCTTTCTTTTTCAGACTTCGAAACCTCGCGACGAATTCGGCGTTCTTCTTGCCAATGTGTGCAACAACACTGAGAAAATGAAATTCTGAAAATTAAATATCTTGAATTAAACAGATTCACTTGTACTCGTGTACCCATTTAAAGAATCAATTAATTATTTTTGAAAGAAAATCCTCCTATGCTCAGTAAGTCCTCCGTGTGAAGATTGATTCAGACTTCCAACTAGTTCGCATATCGTATATTGATATCGTTGCATTTGATACGATGCTGTCAAACGTTGGAAATGTACTCGAAATGCATATCACCATCGAGTTGCTGAATGGAGCACCACTCCTGAATGGAATTTCGAATAACAAAATTTACATAGCTGTGTGTACAGGTTTGATATTCCCTCGCAAAGCGTGACTCGTATTTTAACCTACCATTGGCGCGTACCAAGATTGCATTTATACCAGAAACGGAAAACTCTTCGAATCGTTCGATTTATTCGTAACAATTATCTTCGAGAATGTCTGTAAAAATTCTTTAGACTCTACTTAAATCTACGTTCTACATTCGGAAATCTACATTATCCAATTTAACAGATTAAAATATTGATGAAATAACGCACCGATTGCTTATCTTTCACTCGGATAAGAATTTTGTCCAACTGGTTGAGCTGTTCAATGAATCATACAGGAGGAAACGCGCGCGATAGCGTAATCCCGACGCATTCATTTACGTCTCGCGATAGTGATGCAGTATCGATAGGTTTCCGCGATATCGAATCCACGCGAGAAATTTACCTTCTTACGTCCAGTGCACGAGACCTTCGAATGGTCCATGTCTTATTAGGCGCTATTCCAATCGTGATCAAAACGGCAATTGCAATGTCCCGTAGATTCCTATCAGGAACGATTTACACGTCACTTTATTCTTGTAGCGATACTCTGTTATCGTTTCATCGCCTGAAACAGTTCAAACAACACCTCCATCTCGAGATAAGCCACTCAGAATGGAAGCTATACAGTGTAAACATTTATTTTTCCAAATTTGAATTAGAAATTATAGTTTCTCTTTTTGGTTAAACTTTTGCTTCGTAAAGAGCAATTCTTCACTTTGAAGAGATTACAAATAAATGTTTCTGTATTTTTAATTTTCTTGCGCTACTCTTTTGGACTCTAAGACGTCTCACTTAGGTGTAGCAACCCTCATTAGAAGAGGAAAGTACAAACCAAACAAATGGTCGATGTAATTGCTTCCCTGTTCTACTGATTGTCACCAGAAATTTTAGCAAAAGCATTGTTAATAAGCATTGCGAGTGATCTTAGAAAGCAAGGTACGCTACATATGTATGTGATTTTTCTAATCGTTAGAAGGGTGAGCCTAGAGATCTAATGGTAACATTCTATGCTATATTTTGTCTCGATATTTTCTAAACGTAGATATGAATTGGAACATGTTAGTCGTTATATTCAAGTATTTTACGATGAAGTGTGTTGTTTGAGTGCGAAAGGGCTTCATCGTTTTTCTATTTTCATTCGACCAATAATATGTGCAGAATTTTTAATCGTATTAATACAACGATTCAAAGCTTGACTGAGTTTTGCTTCGTTAGTTGTCGTTCAGTTAAGCTGACGAAACGTAAACAGTGGTAGGGATGACCGCTGATTGCGAATAACACGAATCCGAGCAAACACATTTTATCAATAACTAAAGCATCCCTGTATATGTTCGAATTTACATCTCCATACGTGTGCGTGTTAGTAAGTTTTTTTTTCCGATGGGAGAATAATAAACGTGCGCTGTTTATTATTTTTATCAAGGAACTTGATTAGATTACAATAAAAAAGTACAACAAAAACTTCGCGATCCTATTCGCAGAAAGCTTTCTGAAACTAAAAGATGCGTAACTGCATCTTTTGTTTCTCTGAGGAAAACCCGGGTTATGTGGGTCTCTTCTCGGGTGGCAATAGTTCAGCTCACCCACCCACTAAAAACACTAGCCCACCTAAGCTACGAGGGAGATGCCTAGATCTCACGAGAATTCAACAGGAGTGCATAACTACCCCTTCAAAAATTCACGATTTGAGTCGCGATACGCCCCAACAGATCCCATAAAGCCACCTCCTGTCAGAGGAGGACCAAGTTAGTTCGCAATCCACTGGTTTAAGAGATCCAGAACTCCTGGAGGATCAAGCCAGCCGAGATGCAAGTGCGCTACCGTGTAAAACGTTTGGTCGAATGAACGTTTGCGGCAGGAAATCGAGTAAAACTTACCCGACGGATGCAACAGGCGAACAGAGACATTTCACCAACCGACGCAACGAAAGTACCACGCCGGTTGCGTGCGTGCGAAAATCGCGCGTTACGACGCCCGTGGACGGAATAGTGCGACGCGACGTGTTCGTATCCGCAATACCATTCGCGTGGCGCTTCCCCCCCCCCAAAAAAAAATTCGTCCAATCAACACGGTCCAATTTTCGCGACCTTTCACGGATGGAATCAAGTCGCGTGTCCGCACGAGACGAGTCGTAGAACGAAACTTCAGCGAGCTAAGCGAGGAATCACATGTGAATCCCGTGTGATGGTGTACGCGTGCGCGAATCCCCCGTTGGTCCGTGGTTAACGTTAGCGTTGGATACACGAGTCGTTTGGTGACTCATTAAAATCTGGACTTTCCTCGTGCGAAAGTACTGTTTGACGTCACGTGACTTCGGTGCCTCTCGCGTATTGCAGCGGGAATGCCACGTGTTGGGTTTTTGGATTGTCGGGATTTAGTGTTGACGTGGGAGCAGCGTCTCGGATTTCCTGCGAATTTGATAGTCATCGTAGTCGTCACTTTCTTTTTCGAAAATTAAACAGACTATAGCATTTATGATATTAGATAATATTCTCTTGAAAATGTTGACAATTTTAACACGTATACAAAGTATTTTTTAACCATGAACGTTGGCTTTTTACATCACCAAGGTCGTCATAAACAGTGCATGGTCATACTTTGAAGCCACTAATACACCATCCTGTGTACTTCATCGAAGAAGCTTGTTTAAAAAGTGTATTGAGCAGGGGCTTTTGATAGGCATAGATTATTACTATGGTGGGGAAATGGGGTCTTTCGGTACACGCTTGTTTTGCATGTGACATATACCTATCGCTTGGTAGAATTTTTGTCGTCGTTCACGAGACACGTCAGGCGCCACAAGAATAATAAATAAGGGAGGTGCTATTTTTATACAAGTTCATGCACCAAGGGAAAATTTATAAAAAGGTAGCAAGGTAACGTCAAATTATCAGATACGCGTGCAACGAATCAATACACCATGATTCATTGTCAGTCAATTTCAGGAAACAATATCAATGCAATCGGCATTTACGTTTAAGTAAATGGTGACTGATTGTTAGTTTGCTGAATAGTTTGCTTTCGTTTAGAATTTACCCTAACTTATACTCCTTCGTCAAAGAAGATCGCCAAGAATACAACGAACTATATTCTTGACACGATATCGTAATTTCATTTGTGTCCCATCCTAAGCACCAATTTAATTCATTAAAAGACTCAAAAGACGTTGGCGGGATAATTAAAATTTTAAAAGCGTCGCGCCCAGACTCGAGTGCCATCTACCATCCGCGCTCGCAAACATCTTCATACCGACGGTTCATTTTCACCGTGGCTCCTCAACCGTTCGCCTCTTCCCATTAAAATTTCCCAAACATCACAGTACCACGAACAAACGCTCGCCTAACTAATAACACCTGCAAGGATCCGTTATCGGATAAATACATGCAACGTGCGGTCATCCTGTAAATTTTTCGGGCCAAGCTCGTCATCAGAACCGGTTTTACACTCTCCGAGGTATCGGTAAATGCATATCGTGCTTTTTCACCGTTCCTAGGTTCCCTGATCGTGCATTTCGATACCGAGCCTCGGTTAACGAATCCGACAAATTTCTTAAATTATCTAGAAATCTCTGAGTCCAAAATTGACTTGAAATTCAAGTTTTCGCGGATGGATACTTACTCGATTGTTTTACTTTTCTTCGGTCGAATACGACGACCTCGTCCGCGTGACAGGGCAATTCGCATGGTATGGCAGATATTTTTCGAGGTCGACGCGGTTATCGGGCGAGGGATTGAACGGTATGTGATTCACTTCGAACCAATACGCCTGGAAGCCGTTGAAATGCCGGAAAGAGAGAGGGAGAGAGAATAACGTCGATAAAACTGAGGTGAACGTTGCACGGTGAACGTACGGTACGTAAGGTACGTCGTATCCCCGTTTCGGAGCCAAGTAGTCATCCCCCCGCCCCCCTCGCCGCCCCCCTCCACCGCCCCGCTCTGATGACGATTCAGGGACGGCTCGAGGCACGGCAACGGCAGTCTCTCAATGATTCCTTAAGCGAGTACGCTGGGCGCCTACTAATTATTTACCGTCGTCCATAACGGGACTGTTAAAAAATTTATATCCCTCGTACACTCCATTCAGTCGGGAAGCTATGAAACGTTATAATGACGTTTCGTCGACGGACGTTCTGATGTAGCATGAAAGTAATATGTAAAGCTTCATTCATGCTGTTTGTAGGTTGCTTCGGAGGAAGTTAGTCGATTTTTTTTTTCGAGTTGTACCGAGCTCTACTTCGGTGAAGGGGACTCTGAAGTTGCTCGACACGACTATCATAGAGGCTCTCAGAGGGAGTCTAGATTTATGAAATTGGCAGAGTTAGTATTATATGGAAAATGTTGTTTACTTCGTGGGATTCAAATACTGTTTTAAGGAACGATTAAACCCGATGTAGGTCATGAAATATTAAATCGGGTTTCGTAGAGGAAATGATTCATCGTGGCAGACGAGTAGGGTTCAGTCCTTAATTGGTTAATTGACCTTTTGTTACAAAGACCCGCTGTAATTATAATTACAAATACGTATAATTTCGATAATATATTTCTACAAGATCTTATATATTATATCTAGTTTAATCGAAACAAATATCGAGTCGATAGATTTAAATCATATTTTCTGTTGTTACTCGAATAGATTCATTTCATAAAGAAAGCAAACTCTTGAAATCTCAGATCCGAATCGATTAAGTCGTGTATTGTACCGATTGCCGACGACCGTTGGATATTCTTGAACGCCACCCTGCACTTCACCTTGATATTTGATAGTTTCTTCTTATGTTTCACCTTGAATCGCGAGACGACGTTTCGGTATAGCGCGTCCCTACCTATCTCCGATTCGTGAAGTAAAAGCAAAACCCACAGTTTGACGTTAACACACCTATGCAAGATCGAACTCTAGGCGTGGCTACTGGTCAACATTCTTTGCAACGTTCTCGAGCGCTCCTTTTGACATTTCCCATTGCCATGGCAATTCTGTATTCGATAAAAATATTCCTGGGTAGCTAAAGTTCTACGCATCAGAGGCAAACCACGTTCAAATTTTCTCCCTCTTCCTCTTCTTCTTCTTATTATTATTAAAGAGGAAGAAATAATTACACAATTCCAATATCTTTCAAATTTTGGATGCGTTATGTCACCTAATTAAAATTATATTTTCTTTGAATAGTTGAAATATTATTTCAGAGATCCTCCACGTGGGGCCCCCCGGAAGAAACTCAGAAGGGGGTCACGAGCCAAAGAAGGATGAGAAACACTGCTTCAGATGATCACGACATCAGAAACAACAGCCCCGTTGTTTTCTTAAGGGGGTATCCTGAATTAAAAGGTCTAAAAAAAGCTGTTTTTCGTGAATTTTTTTAGGATGGAAAAAAT